GTTTCTAACAAAAGATCATTTCACATAGACTTTATGCCTTCCACTTTACAAACGATGATTTTCCGTTATAACTATATAAATCAAATGATGTTTTTATTCACCTAATTCATTATAAAGTTTATTTAACAGTTTAATAAATTCGAAATTGAAATGGATAGTATAGGGAACATACTGTATTAATGTACTCTACTGCACATAATTTGTGATTTGTACACTTTGAGCTTCCTTTCAGGCTGAAAGGGACTGAAACAATTCATACCGAGAGATTCTTTTAATTCCTCTCTAATATATATTCTATTCTCTATGGCTGTGAATCAATCTGGAGTCGGAAACCTTGCCGGAGGTTATCAACCTTGATGGTGGAGATTACCTACTTTGATGGCGGAGGTTTTTAACTTTATGGCGGAGGTTATTTAACTTGATTTCGGTAGTTATTTACCTTTATGACGGATGTTATCTAACTTACTTTCGTATGTTATATTTATTTACCTTAATGGTGGAGGTTATTTACTTGGGTGGCGGAGATTATTTACCTGGATGGTGGAGGTTATTACACTAGATGGCGGAGGTTGGGCGGAAGTTATTTACCTGGATGGTGGAGGTTTGTCAATGGTTGTTTACCTGGATGGCGGATGTTATTTTCCTGGATGGCCGAGGTTATTTTCCTGGATGGCGGAGATTAGGCGGAGATTATTAACCTGGATAGCGGAGGTTCTTTGCCTAAATGACGAAGGTTTGCCAAAGGTTGTTTACCTAGATGGCGGAGGTTAGGCGAAGGTTACTTACCTGGACGGCGGAAGATAGGCGAAGGTTATTTACCTGGATGGCGGAGGTTAGGCGGAGGTTATTTACCTGGATGGCGGAGGTTAGGCGGAGGTTATTTACCTGGATGGCGGAGGTTAGGCGGAGGTTATTTACCTGGATGGCGGAGGTTGGGCAGAGGTTAAACTATTCGAACTTCTAGATATTCCTTGTAAAGGTAGAGTAGAGCTACCACGATATAATAGAATATAATAGGATATAATATAATAGAATAGAATAGAATAAAACAGAACAGATTGGAATTATCTTTGACAGCTTAGGTTCTATTTCACCTTCTTAGGACCTAAATATAATTGACGAAACAAGTTGACCCTGAAATCCTTTTTATATTAGACCCTCTTCGATGATGATGATGATGATTATAATGATGATGATGATAATTATGATGAAAATGATGATTATGATGATGATAATTATGATGATGATAATTATGATGATGATAATGAAGATGATGATAATGATGATGATCATAATGATGATGATGATAATTATGATGATGATAATGAAGATGATGAAAATGATGATTATAATGATGATAATGATAATAATTATGATGATGATAATTATGATGATGATAATGAAGATGATGATAATGATGATGATCATAATGATGATGATGATAATTATGATGATGATAATGAAGATGATGAAAATGATGATTATAATGATGATAATGATAATTATGATGAAAATAATGATTATGATGATGTAATGAATCTTGTGTAAACAATGTTGCCCCCTGATGTGCTAGGAATTCTAAATATTATTATGTGTGTCCATCTTGGGCTGGGTTCACTTCAAAATATATTTAGGAATTTATATTTTATATTCAGAATCCTTCTTATTAAAGTGGATGTAGACAAAACTTTAAGTGAGACTTCTTTGCACGGAGGTTGACTTGAAATTACGCTTACAATTCCTTTAAATCAGCAGGGATCTTACAAACATTTAAATGATTCAGATAAAAAATTTTAAATTTCATAATTTTAAATCTCACCTATATGTTGAAGTTGCCCTGGCAGACTAGATCGCAAACTCTAAAAAATATTTTATAGAATAATTTAGTATTTTTTTCTAATTAATTTTCATTTTTTTTATTTTATTTTATTATTTTTATTTCAAGCGAAGATTTCAGCCAAAAACATTTTGAATTATACTTGTAGAATATATTAAATATAGACGTTACAATTATTCAAAAACAAAAATTATATTAATTATTTTTTAAGCAACTTGAAATCCCACATAACTAATATATTTAAAGCAGAAGCTGAGTTCCTGTCCAAAACTCTAATTTTGCTACCCGAGACCTTTCATATTTTAAACTGCAAATATGGTTAGATTAAATACTCTAAGTTTGAAATAAAGTTTTACACCATAAGGTTGCAAAGATAAAGTTATAACACATTTTAAGTTTGTTGCTAGAACCCAATTCCATAAGCCATCAACCATTAACCCTCTTGTCCGGGGATGGGAACACGAACCCTCACTTTTTAGATTTCTTCAGAAAATTTGCATTTTTTTCCAGGCCCTAATGAAATTCTATAGTACGGACAAAGGAATTGAGCTTTTGCCACAAACTCTGATTTTCTTATTTCAATATCGTTGCAACACAATGTCGTAGACCTTTAATATTTCGAACTAAGAATGCTATTAGATCAAATAATATAAGTTTGAAATATCAAAGGTTTACACCATAAGGTTGCAAAGATATAGGTTTTACAAAAACTGAATTTGTGGCAAAGACTCAATTCCTTTAAATTAATAAACTCAACAAAACCAAAATGTCATATTTCAAGATGTTCTTACACCTTTAATACTAAATACATCTAAGTGATATCAACGATCAGAAATTTGCTACAATGTCTAAAAGAGCGGACTTTTGGGCCAACTTTACACTGTGAATTGTAGAATAAACATTTGAATGAATTTTGCCGCGAAGCGCTGAATTTTGTTTACCTGAAGGGTTGAGACAGGTATATAGAGACCAGGGGAGCTGACCTGCCCCGCTACTGTACTCACTGACCCGCCTTCATCGACTTTTATCAGATTGTTTCATTAAAGGCTTAGTTTAATATAGTGCTTAGTCACATCAACTTTACTCAATATCCACAGAAATTACTTTTAGCCTTTCCCGAATATAAATTTACTATGTTTATCCTACTTTTCTAATTATTTTGAAAAATTACATAGTAAGTTGTGATTTGTGCTTTTTAGATAAAGGAAATATGAAAATAAATAATTCAAGAACGTATACTGCACTATTACACACGTTTCTTATTTCTTGATTTAAGTTTGATCAGATAGAACAAGAAAGAATTACTTATTAAACACTTTTAGTCCAGAATATCAATAGAACAGTGGTACCCAATACAGGGATAAATTTATGAGGTCTTAACTCTTTGTTTAAATAAGATCTACGGCTGACAAGATTGATTTGAAATTGTTAAAACTGATATATCAATTGGAAAAAAATGATATCTTAAATATATGAAATTTAAAAAACGGCAAATATTTCATTTATATCTTTTAAATGTTTTAGTGTCTTAATAAGAATATTTTCCAAAGTATAAGGGTTTTGAGAAATCGTCATTTAAAAAGACCATTGTATTTTATATCTATGCAGCATTTGTTCTTTACTTCAGGCCGGATGCTTGAAGGAAAAACAGTAATTATAGAAGTTAAAAAGAAATTGTTCTTTAGTTTCGTGTTTAAATAGTTAGACTAATTTCTGTCCTTTCAGGTTAGACTTTCAATCCAGTGTGAGGTGCACAGTTTTAAACATTATTTGCAAGAATATATCGAAGATGTTTTGTAAAATTCTGAACTAAATGGACAAAACTCCAATTGTTAAATAATTTAAAAGGGGCCAGTATCTAGTGCTGAGCGGTGTTCATAGAGAACCACTTTTCTTTAACAGGAACACATGGAACGGAACAGAACGGAGCAGAATGGAACAAAACGGAACGGAATATAACAGAATGGAAAGAAACAGAACTGAAAAAAACAGAACGGAACAAAACAGAAAGGAACCGAATGAAACAGATCGGAACAAAACAGAAAAGAACACAACAGAACGGAACAAAACAGAATAGAACAAAACAGAAAGGAATGGAATGAAACAGAACGGAACAAAACAGAAAGAAACGGAATGAAACAGAACAGAATGAAACAGAACGGAATGAAACAGAACGAAACAAAACAGAACAAAACAAAACAGAACGAAACGAAACAGAACATAACAAGAACAGAACAAAAAGAACTAAACGAAACAGAACAATTTATAATAAAACAAAATAGGAACATGTACATCTCTAAGGACGGCCCGTCTTTTCTGCAGGGAATGATTGTTCATTCTTGGGAACGAACGGAAAGAACGATTTTAAAAATGTACGAACACTCCCAGCCCTAGTATCATTCTGGAAACTTATAAATTATTTGACTGTCCCTGAAACAGGAGGTAATTAGGAAAACAAGAAAAAACTGAACCCACGCCATTAATGTGACTGGAGTAGAAAGGAATTTACAAAAGTTGAAATCCGGATTTAAATGCAGCGGCGATAATTAAAGCATGTCAGAACATTTTAGCAAGCTCATATGATACTCTTCGGTAACATATAACAGTTTTTCTAAAGGAATGTGTGGAAATATAGAGAATTAAGACTTTTTCAGATAAAATAATGTTTTTTTTTCAGTGGCGTGCTTTTATATCAATACAATTGGTGACAACTTTTAGCTTTTGATTTAAACGCTGAAACTGTATCAGCAAACATTGAGGATTTAAAATGCGCGAAAAATATTCTTTTTCTTGAAAATAAGTAATCTTTAAACTCGACAAAAGCGTTCCTTGACTAGTTGCTGTTGGAACTGTTGTGGGCGGGGCCACCAATGAAAATGGGAACGCTGTTGGTACAGAGCCTACTGGATTTAGAGAAGGAATGGAACCTGTCTTTGCAGCTGCTACAGGTCCTTTCACTTGGGACCTGTCACAAATTGTCAGTTTTTAAACATTGAAAAAAAGTTAAAATAAAACCGAAATAAAATATTTTTACCTGTACCAGCCCTCAAGATAAGTATAATAATCTTCTGGAACAGCTGCTGCATCCAATGCAGCTGTTTCTCCCGTGTAGAGATGAGTAAAGAAGTCCCGTTCCAGTTCTGGGGGTATGGACTCATCAGCTGATGAAGGAAGACGACTTGACCAACTGTTGCGGAATTTTAGTGATTGATTACGGGGATTTTCTAAATACACCTGCTGCTATGTTATTTTTTTACAATTTCATCAAATGATTATTTTGTTAGATTATCTAGCTAAATTTAGTCTTATTACGAGAAATATTAAGCTAATCATAATTCACATTGGACATCACAATAGTTGCAGAGTTATGTAATCTCCTTGGGATTAAAAAAAAGGAAAATTAAAGTGCAAATGATAAAAATAATATGATTTACGCATAGAAAGATTCAACATTTTAAGTTAGCCATTTTAAAAAAAATCGGCCCCTCAACAAAATTCCCTGGTTGCGCCCCTTCAAGTTAGAAAGTATTCCAATGGAAACAATAAGCAAAGTATATTATAAAAGCTTTGTTTGCATTGCATATAAAGTTCCATCTTTGAGACAATGCAGTATACGAACCAGGGAGTAAGGAATAGAAGGGAGAGACAACTGACGTGGTTCGCCCTACCATATGATTATGCATGCTTTGCAGACGGTACTCCATTTTATATCGAGCTGTTTGGTTTCTTTAGTAGGGCCCCACAGGAAAAATATGTATTGGCTCAATTTTCTTTGACCAGTTTCTTCAATACATATTTTTCCTGTGGGGCCCTACTAAAGAAACCAAACAGCTCGATATAAAATGGAGTACCGTCTGCAAAGCATGTATAATCATATGGTAGGGCGAACCGCGTCAGTTGTCTCTCCCTTCTATTCCTTACTCCCTGATACGAACCCTCCAAAGCTAACAATTGTTGAATGTGAAAATCCTGCAGTTTTCCCTTTTTTAACACAGTTTTAGGCTTTCAAAGGCCCCTGAAAATCTGCAAACTTTTGTGAATTTCTAAATTATATTTATTTGGTCCAAAAGAATGATTTTGTCCATTATGTTATATGTTGATTTTGCAAAATGATTGTTTTTAGATTTATCAAACTTTTTATTTACAAACGATTGGGGTTAACATTTTGTACAGTTATAGTTTATTTTGCGGCCAGATCAGAAAACAGCACGAAAAAAGTTTGATATTTCGTAAATTTTTGCTGAGAAACCTAAAAGCCAAAACTTTTTTAAGCGAAATTAGTACAGACCAAACAGGATATACCCAAGCATTTTTAATCATACCATTCTGCTACCTACCTTCAAAGCACCAAGGATGAAATTTTATTGACATTAAACTATATTGTATGATGTATTTTTACTAAACTTATTAACCCCCTTTCATAGCCCTCCCCCCCTTGGAAATCTTTTGTTGGGCTGAAAAAAACTAGATATACAATTTAAAAGCAATCTAAGCCTTTAGAGTTAAACTCTAGATTTTTGTAGATTAGCTAAAGAATTTTCAGGGTTAAACATCAACTTTAGAAACAATTTAAGAATAAAATGGATAATTTTACAAGGTTCGTATTACCTTGCTTAAAAATACGTTTTTTTTACCCCCTTGACATACTGCAATTTTGCATACTTAGGTTTAACATGAAATAGCGTATGGTATGAATTAACATATGTTTGCAGCATTATGCAAATCTATTAAAAGCCTTTGACGGCATGTTTCTTGCCTTGAGATAGATAGGTAGCAAAGTTGTAAAAGAAACTTGAAGGATTTGATCACGTACCTCAAACTCAATTTTTCTTATTTATTAAGTCTTAGAAACTGCAATGTATAGGCTTTGCTATATTAAATATCCAAGGTGTACACCATCATGTTGCAAAGACTGTATGGGATTTAAACATTTTAATTTGTGGTAGGAACTCAGTTTTTTCATCGAAATATAAATGATAAGTATTTGAAAAGATGTTCCTTATTTAAAAAAGATTTTACAGATTTTAAGAGCGTCTAAATAGCCCAAAATTGAGATTTAATGGACTAATCAGAAATTTATAAAAGAATGAATCATAAAAAAATGTATATGTGAGAATTTTGGCGTTAAAGATTGGAGATAATCTAATATGATATGGGATGCTCTGTACGATACTAAATTAGTTAAAGATTGGAGATAATCTAATATGATATGGGATGCTCTGTACGATACTAAATTAGTTAAAGATTGGAGATAATCTAATATGATATGGGATGCTCTGTACGATACTAAATTAGTTAAAGATTGGAGATAATCTAATATGATATGGGATGCTCTGTACGATACTAAATTAGTTTTTTTTTTTATAAAGGAATTGATTCATCGTTACAACTCTAGTTCTTTATTCCTGTATCTTTGCAACCTGAAGTTAAAAGCTTTAGCATTTGCAATATTTGGAATTTTTATCTAGCGCGTATTTATATTTAAAATATTAAAGTCAAACACCATCATGTTGCAAAAAAATAAAAATCAGAGTAATCAGAACAACTGCGATTAAAAACTTTGGTGAAAAGAAGACAGTTGGATTTATTTAACTGGTCTAATATTCTATTTGGCAGATTTTAATGGTTGGAATCGGCGGATATCGGGATTTTATTAAAACAAGACTCAACATTGGGACTAATTCTTCACTAAAATCATCCAGGTCGGTTTTTTTATCGGGCCTAACTCTGACGAGTAGGTCCGATCAAAATACAGACCTAACACCTGGGTCTAAGGAATCAAAACCCAAGTTTAGGCTTTTAAATCTCGGGCTCAGGTACTTAAAGACAAATTCAATGCTGAAAAGTTTTAAATAAAATATTTTCTAAGTACACGCTTAAAGTGTTAACCTCTGCACCTAGATGAAGACAAAGTTTAAAAATATTAAGAAATCAGGATCATTTTTCAACAAATGCAAAACTAAAAACTGGACCCAAGGAAAACTTTCATAAATCAGGAGTCAGTGTTCCTTTTCACCCTGAGGGGGGGGGAGGGTTCCGTGGGGGTTAGACGGGGGTATGGGATAAGGGAATTGGAGAGAATTTTGTTCTAATTTCGACTCTTCATCAAAACGAGGAGTGGTATGTCCGATTCACGATGGGACCTTAAAAGCTTTTATCTGATCAAGATTGAATGAGATTTCCATGTTTATCTCTTTCAAAATTCATTATTTCAAATTGTGGGTTCTCAATAAAAGTGACTTTTTCCAGCAGAAACAATGGGAGAAAATTTTCAGGATGAAACACTTTTTAATCCCAAAAAAAAGACGATATCTTCCACTTCATTAATCAATGCTTTAAAAAAAAAAAAATTTAAACCTTCATAAAAAAGTAGCACAAAAGTATTTTTTGTAAAGTCAAAGTTTTCTATTAAATAAAAACTTCTAAGGCAATGTTATTTTTAAACAATAACAATCAAAGATTTTGATGTTTTTTTTACACTAAGTCTGTTTTATAGATAGAAAAGGAAAAAATGTGCATTAACATTTTTCTTGAACTTTAGTCCTGTCGGGGTATTTTAATGACCAAAGTATGTTTTTGATCAACATCTCGTGGCTTAAAACAAAAACCCTCTTCCAATACAAGTCATTTTAAAAACCAAAAAGTCTTTAAACTGTAATAACATTTTTTTTAAAACAATTAATTATAATAAATCCCTTAAAAAATGATATGGGGCACTATTCAAAAAGAAATTTAACAAAACCATGGGTTAATATACCGGAGATTTTGTTCATAGTAAAAGTTAAAATATCTTAATTATTACTTTTAATATTTTTGCACAGAAATGTTTTATTTATAAATCTCCGTTAAAGAAAGCAATTTTAAAAATGAAATGAATATTTACATTTTAAAAAAGGAAATATTTTTGTTTATAATATTAAGCCGTTAGAAAGTCTTTTTCGAGTAAAATTTTTTATGTGGAAGTTACTTTACTCATTGTTTTAACGATACATAAAGACTTTATAACAAATTATAAGGATTTGAGTTTTTGCCACATTTTCTGAGATTCTAATTTCTTTATCTTTGCAAGACCTTAGATATTTCAAACTATTAATTTTGTTATATCAAATAATTTAAGTTTGAAATGTAAAACGTGTAGACCATGAGGTTGCAAGGATTTAGGGATTTAGCGACTTTGTTTAACCTGAATCCTAACGCACAAACCTTTGATATTTTAAACTTAAATAATTTGATCCAGCAGAATTCATAATTTGAAATATCAAAGGTCCACGACATCAGGTTGCATGGATATTTTCTCACAAAAAACTCAGTTCCTTTCTCAACAAATTACAGTGAGTTTTTAAAAACCTAAACCATTTATTCTATTATTTTCATGTTCCCTGTAAAAAAAAATACGGTTTATGAATATTAATATGATTTGTTTTTAAAAACCTAACCCATTTATTCTATTATTTTCATGTTCCCTGTAAACAAAATACGGTATATGAATATTAATATGATTTGTTTTTAAAAACCTAAACCATTTATTCTATTATTTTCATGTTCCCTTTAAAAAAAAATACGGTTTATGAATATTAATATGATTTGTTTTTAAAAATTTGATCAATCAACACTATCAAGTTACTTTTTGAAAGCTAGTAATTATTGTAGAAGGAACATAAATGTTATAGGAAGGGTCTGAATTTTGAATACAGGGTTACCCACTAAGGATGAGACTTAAGAAATGACTGAACAGATTTTATTCTGTACCTTTTTATTTCCCTTAAGGGTTACTTTTAGATTTAAACCTTTTATTTATTTGTTTAAGCATTTATTCTTTCATTCGCATTTAGGATGTCATGATTAGCTTGAGTTTTTGCCACAAACTCTTATTTTCTAATCCCTATATCTTTATAACCCAATTTCGTACACCTTATATATTCTTTTAGATCAAATAGTTTAAGTTTTAATTAGCAAAGATGTAGGGATTCAAAATTAGAGTTTGTGGCCGAGACTCAACTTCTTTTGGCGCTTTCTATATCTTTTAGATATATTTTACTCCAAGTTTCAGAATCTTCCAGGCTGTATATTCCTTGGGTTTTTAACTAACTACGCTCAGGTACAGTTTTAAATAAAATGTTAATAAGCTGAGTAAATTTGAAGCTCTAAAAACTAAAGGTTCAATTAAGCAGGAATTTAAACAATTTGTGTGTATAAAATTGCGAAAAAAAACACACAAATCATTTAATTTGTTTAAATAAGCAGTTAGGTTCCGTGAACCCACAGGGTGTCAGAAAAGTGTATCCATTAAAAAAAAAGAATTTCCAAAAAAAATATTTTTGTGAGTATGAAAAGGATTTATTCCCATGACACCCTGTAGACAGTTGGTGGTCGTCTTCCCTATAGATATAGAATAGCGAGGACTTAGAGGAGAAAAAACCCTGTCAGTTTGACTGGGGGAGAGAGAGAATTTTCGCTTAGGTTTAGGAAGAGTAGGAATTGGTGGTTCAACCGGGGTTTGACAAAGTTTTAGAAGTCTTTGGTAGTTTTACAGTGAAAATAAAAGTAAATTTTTATTAGAGGGATTGCTTGCAAAAATGTAAAAGGCCCAATGAAAGAACTACGATTAAATGAGTAGTTTTTGTTTTAGTTTCTACACTATGTTTCTCATCCTATGTTTCTAGCCTATGTTTCTGTGAAGAAAAATTTAAATTCTCAACACAAAAGTGTGGGATAGAAACATAACTAGTCCCAACTAATACATGATTTAATCAGTGTTCATCCAGTATCCACACATCTTGAATTTCTAATATTTTTGCAAACTTTTTAGATAATAAATACAGAGTAAATTATAGAATTTCACTGTAAGGATTCCTAATGAAAGACTCTTCGCATTGTGCATATTCATGTTTGAGAGACAACACTTCGTTTGGTAAATTTATATTTTTGGACTTAATGTTTCGTAGGGTTGGATCATAGTTCATGCTACGAAACCGCTCTGCCTTTTTTTGGTCAACAGATTTAGAGTTTCTTCTGACCATTTTCAAATATCTCATTACAGTTTCACCCATTGTGGCGGGATCATAATCTTCACTTGTTCGACGAGATTCACGTTTGGCCAGAGCGGTTGTTTCTTGGGCAATTTTATCATCTTCATCCTGACTCTCAACCTTCAATCGTGCGTCTTCCTTGGCTTGTAATTCAAAAAACTCAAGAGGTAAATGATCAGTTTGAATGCAAATATTTCGTTTAGTACTAAAAGAGATGGTGTCCAACCCACTACCTATGCCTGATTCTCGAGCAGGGAGATCTCGCTTGTACTCATCATCAGAACTGGGACTATGGTCCCGGGGTGAGAGAAGGAAGTCCCCTGAAGGAGACAGTATCCCGCTATCAAGTGGAGAACTGTCACTGAAAGACCAATCAGCATCCTGTAAAAACTGAGCTGGTAATTCCTGTACTACCATACCCGAAGGTAATTGCACATGTGAAAGAGGATCAGACTTGTGGGAATGATCTCGAATTGACCGTTTACCAACCTGGACATATCCTGGGGGAGGTTTATCACCAGTTGGAAGAACTATTCGGAACTTTGCTGTATGGGACTCAAACCGATAGTCCAATGAGTCCTCAGAATGTTCCAGACTATCGGCCTGGTCTGAGGACTGGGAGGGCGCTTTGCGGTTCTTAGCAAGCAAAACTCGTGGATCTTCCACTGGTCCTTCCCATATAACAAACTCATTTTCTTTTTCACAAACATCATGGTAATGTTCTTCAAGCAGTCTTAGATCATCTTCAGTGAAATCCTTATAGTCCTTTCCTTTCCGTAAAGCCTCTGGAATCAGTAACTTGCCGGCATCGGCCATGTATCGCCAGGTTTTTCTTGTGACCAGCCATCGTTCACGTTTCTTTGGTTTAGACGGGAGGGATTTGGTATCCCCTCCTCCCTTTCCCCCTGGTAGCCAACTGGCCATTTTCACTTCAATATCACAAAAAAATCACTAAATAACACCAATACCTGGGTGCCCTGACTTCCATGTCAATATTAAACATTGCTGTTTGGAGTGTACAGAGGCCAATTTACATATCTAGGAGAAGGCTGGACTAAGGACTGAAGGCGGAGAGGAGGCGCGGAGGGCGGCCTCGACTAACCGACAGCTATGAACTGACCTGTCCCACTTGGAATGCAGATTTTTTAGCCCAGTGTAAAGAGATATTTTAATATTTGACTTTATTTCACAATTATCACATTTTCACTTAGAGTCTAATGTTTAATGTTTGCGAATTCTCTCTCTCTCTCTCCCCTTCCCTCTCACCTTTTCCCTCACGGACCTCTCCCACAGATTTTCCCGTCTGAAAATGTTTCCTGAAATGTTTAAAATTTGTTGATTTTTTGACACAGTTTCTATCTAGATAAATGTTTAGAAGTCGCACTCGCCGTTGTTTCAAGAAAAATGTGTTTTGTGTAAAAAGTTTCTAGTTTGCTGCAGTGACAACCAAACACACATTATTCTCTTTCAGTTTCCAGCTATTCTTGGATGTATAGACCCACCTACTGCATAGTTTCACTTCCTTAGCTATTTTCTTGTGTGTATTTAAAAATGTGATTGGGAATTAAAACTTTGTACTTAAAAAGGGACTGTAAAGAAAAAATGAAAGGGGGTAGAGGATAAAACCTGAGAAGTTCAGGTTTTGAACAATACCTATAAGACATCTATCTGTTGTTGCTGTCTCGAGAAATTGACATAAAACTGTGTCAAAACTATACTAAAACGGTATAAAAGTTTTAAATAAATCATATTCAATAAATACGCAATCAATCTGAAAACGCCTATACCCAACAGCAACCTGAAAATCTCAGGTTTGCTCCTGTGGGATATAATCGTTTTCAGATTGATTGCGTATTTGTTGAATATGATCTGATTAATACTACAACTGTTATACAAAATCTAGCGTACGCCCGTTTTGGTATAATTTTGACACAGTTTTATGTCAATTTATCGAGACAGCAACATCAGATAGATGTCTTATAAGTATCGTTCAAAAGCTGAGATTCTCAGGTTTTATCCTCTACCCCTTTTCATTTTTCCTTTATAGTCCCTTTAATTTGTGTAAATAAATATTTTTAACAACTATATAAACTTTTCTCAAAAATTGGAATCTATTTAAAATAATTTTTTTGTTGTTGTAAAAGTTAAATGGAAATTTACTTTTTTTGATTTATGCTATGTCGAACATTTCCTAAAATTACCTACTATTTTACAATATATTTCAACAAAAAAGAATATCAAAGGTTCTCGCCTTTTTAGCTAAAATATATAAATAAAGTTTTTGCCACTAACTCTGATCTTTTAATTCCTAATTCTTTGCAACCCAATAAACAGATTATGCAGTTTGAGTTTGTGGCAAAAACTCATTTTTTTTGCCATTTTTGTCTGTATTCAATAAACATCAAAACTGCTGAATCGATCGGGCCCAATATGGGTAGTTAAAAGTTTTTGCTTGGAAATAACGATTTTTGAAAATTTGAGTTTTACAGTCAGGAAGAAAAAATCGACACATGGAAAGCAACATCTATTGACATTTAAACGATTTAATTATTGCCAGAAGAGGGTGCGAAACGCCCAGAAAGCTTAGTTTTAATATATATTATTATATAATCAAAAAAGGCTCGAACGTTCCCCAAAAGAAAAAAAAGCTTTGTGGCACAGCAAACCAAAATTTTTAACTATAGTGTTATAAAAAACTATATTTCAATAATAATTCAAAACTAAAAAAATGTTATTTTAATATTATTATTAGTATTGGCATTATAAAAACATTGCTCATTTTTTATTTCATATATTTATAAAGAATCTTGAGTAAAAAATTGGAATTTGTCCCTTTAAATATGAATAATGTTGAACTAGAATACAGCAGATATAGGCTGATTTGTATCTTAGCTTTAAATCAACATTCCTTAAACTTATCTCCCTTTCTTCCTTTCTAAACCTTATATTTCTCCCTTTTTTTCCTTTCTAAACCTTATACTTCTCCCTTTTCTTTCTTCCTGAACCTTATACTTCTCCCCTTTCTTCCTTTCTAAACCTTATACTTCTCCCTTTTCTTCCTTTCTAAACCTTATACTTCTCCCTTTTCTTCCATTCTTATCGATATACTACTCCCCCTTTCTTCCTTTCTAAACCTTAAGCTTCTCCCCTTTCTTTCTTTCTAAATCATAAACTTCTCCCCTTTCTACCTTTCTGAACATTATAATTCTCCCCTTTCTTTCTTTCTTAACGAAATACTTCTTCCCCTATCTTCCTTTCTAAACCTTATACTTCTCCCCTTTCTTCCTTTATAAACGATATACTTCTCCCCCCGTTCTTTCTTTATGAACCTTGTACTTCTCCCCTTTCTTTCTTTCTTAACGATATACTTCTCCTCTTTCTTCCTTTCTTCATCATATACTTCTCCTCTTTCTTACTGTCTTTAAATTTTTTAGCTTTTTGTAAAAAAAAATAATAATTCAAGAGGATTCATCTATATATGTGAACACTTTGCTTGCTTGTCTGTCTGGGTCCCTGTCTGCTGTATCCAATAAATGTCAAAACGACTGAACCGAACTTTACATGTCCCCAAGATAGGTTAATAGTTGATCAAAATTTCAAAAATTAGCTTCAACAAAATTAGATTTTCATAAAATTTTGAAAATCCACGAAATTTTCTTTATTAAATCCAGGAACATTTTTTTGATTTTGTTTTCCTTCCAGAGAAAATGTTCACAATTTTGCTTAAAAATTTTAATTTCTAAGTTTTTCTTAAAAAACATTTATCTTCTTATCTCTACCTTACATATTTTAAATGATAATATATTAAAGATTATTTATCAGAGGGGACGGAAGTTAATGATTTTAAAGATAAAAATGTTGCTGCTCCCTTCCTACCCTCACATGCAATAGTCCAACATGAACCCTTCCCATCCTTCCCATCCTTCCCGTCCTTCTCATCCTTCCCATCCTTCCCATACTTCTCATCCTTCTCATCCTTCCCATCCTTCTCATTCATCCCATCCTTCCCATCCTTCCCATCCTTCCCATCCTTCTCATCCTTCCCATCCTTCCCATCCTTCCCATCCTTCTCATCCTTCCCATCCTTCCCATCCTTCTCATCCTTCCCATCCTTCCCATCCTTCCCATCCTTCTCATTCTTCTCATCCTTCCCATCCTTCTCATTCTTCTCATCCTTCTCATCCTTATCATCCTTCCCATCCTTCCCATTCTTCCTATCCTTCCCATCCTTCCCATTCTTTCCATCCTTTCCATCCTTCTCATCCTTCCCATCCTTCCCATCCTTCTTATCCTTCCCTTCCTTTTCATCCTTCCCATCCTTCCCATTCTTCCTATCCTTTCCATTCTTCCCATCATTCGCATCCTTCCCATTCTTCTTATCCTTCATATCCTTCCTATCCTTCCTATCCTTCCCATCCAACCCTTCTCATCCTTCCTATCCTTCCAATCCTTCTCATCCTTCCCATCCTTCCCAGTCTTCCAATAATTCCCATCCTTCCCATTCTTCTTATCCTTCCCATCCTTCCTATCCTTCCATTCCTTCCCATCTTTCCCATCCTTCTCATCCTTCTCATCCTTCCCATTCTTCCCATCCTTCCCATCCTTCCCATTTCTTCTCATCCTTCCCATCCTTACCATCCTTCTCATCCTTCTCATCCTTCTCATCCTTCCCATCTTTCCCATCCTTCCCATCCTTCCCATCCTTCCCATCCTTCCCATCCTTGCCATTCTTCTCATCCTGCTCATCCTTCCTATCCTTCCCATCCTTCCCATCCTTCCCATCCTTCCCATCCTTCTCATCCTTCTCACCCTTTCCATCTTTCCCATCCTTCTCATCCGTCTTATTTATCTCATCCTTCCCATCCTTCCCATCCTACTAATCTTTCCCATCCTTCCCATTCTTCGCATCCTTCCCATCCCTACCACCCTTCTCCTCCTTCTCCTCCTTCCCATCTTTCCCATCCTTCCCATCCTTTCCATCCTTCCCTTCCTTGCCATTCTTCTCATCCTTCTCATCCTTCTCATCCTTCCCATCCTTCCCATCCTTCCCATCCTTCCCATCCTTCCCATCCTTTCCATCCTTCCCATCCTTCCCGTCCTTCCCATCCTTCTCATCTTTCCCATCCTTCCCATTCTACTTATATTTCACGATGATTTTTAAAAACAAATAATAAATTATCTTTACAGATATGAACGATGAAGGCTTGAACATTTTTAAGTTAATTAATCAAAATTTAAAAAAAAATTCATTTCAAAATGAGTGAGCTGCAGTTTTAGAACGGAACAGCTTTAAAAATTAAATCTAACTTTTTATCATTTCTATAAATTGATAATTTCCATCTATATAATATGATTTTCGACTTCGATGTCATCGGTCATAATAAAATATAACATACTATGCTATCAGGGCGCTTCGTGCCCATCTTCTATTTTAACTTTTAATAATTGCATAATCTTTCAGCTTTTTCTCTTCGATAAAACAAAAATAAAATTTTATTTCGAATTACATTTTTTATTTCGTGTACTTACAAAAATTGTCCACAATTCAAAAAACGTTGAAGACAATTCTTTGTATATCTGAGCATTTAATAACCTTCCCTGGGGTCATGTAAGGTCCCACACAACATTTTGACGTTTGACGTTTATTGGATGCAATCGGACAGACAAACAGCTAGACAGACAAGCAAAGTGTACATATAGATAAATAAATAGTTTTTTTTAGTAAAATTTACCAATTACAGTTCTGTAATGTACGCTGTCTATCATATCATTTTAAGTTTTAATGGTGTCTCACTTAACATGACAAAAGCAAGACAAATTGAAGGTCGTCTTTCATCAGATAATTTGCGGCAATTATGCGTAAACCTTCTATTCTAAAAGTAAAGTTCTAAAGTTAATAATAACAAGAGACCACTTGGTTTGGCAATTCCAAAATGTGGTCTGACTTTTTTTTAGCTTTTACCAGAGATATGTAGAATTTTGTTCAGATTTTGACAATTTTGGTTATCTTATAATTAAACAAGACATTCGTATACATGTTCCCTGTACGCGGCCAAATGGGTGGACCGAATGGGCTGAAATTAGTTGTTGACACCCTCCGTGTTATATATAAAGGCTAAATAAAAATCGATTTTATTTCTAATTCTTTTTTTCAAAATGTGTTTTTTTTTTCACGGGCAATGCCGGACCCTTTAGCTTGTATATAATAAAATTGAAATTTGAACGAAATTCTTAATATCTCCAGTAATATTGAGAGCACAAAAATGCAGATCCCATTTTGAAAAATTTTGTGGTAACTGTTTCAAGAATAATAAATGTATGTTGACCACTGAATGTCAAAAATAAGTTCAAAGGTCAAAGACGATTTTCAATTCGTTTTGTTTATATCGTAATGTTTTGTGGCACACCCTGTACATACGACCCAACTTTAAAGTTCAAGGAAAACAACAGAGCTAATCTTACGACTCTCGGATGTTCGCGAAAGTCTTATTTGATCGCATCATAAATCTTTCGGATCTTTTAAACTTGACAATTTGATGTTGTAACTCTTTGATATTTGATATCTCAAACTTTAAATCCTGTCTGATCAAATAGTCAAAGTTTTAAATATTAAAGGTGTACAGCACCAGGTTGCAATATTATAGGAATCAGAACTTTTGAGTTTGTAATGAGTTATCATTTTCTTTAGAATATTTTATAACTATTTTCTGTTATTTTTTTACGAATATAAATAGTAATAAAATGTATACAAGTAGATTTGATAACATTATTATTGTAAAGATTTCAAGTATTTATAGAACGGCAGGTCCTATTCACAACGATACACTCCAAACCTTTATGTATGCACTAATGATGGTGTTATCCATCTTTTTCTTTCTTAAAATCGATAGATTTTAATTGAGGACGTGAGGATATGTAATTTATAGAATTTTTATCTTTAACTTAACAAAAAAGTTACTTCTTTTGATAATATGGTTCAGAATAACGGGAACATCAATTGAATAAATTTACTATTAGAATTTTTTAACAAGAACAATTAAGGTTATTTAAACAGCGGGGAAAAACCAAATTTACCGCAAGTATTAAATGTGAAGGTTGCCCCCCCCCCCCCAACTACAGGTTATTGACCGCGCAAATTCATCAAATCCTAATGAAATTGATGAAATTGATGAAATACTCGAGTTTAAAAAAAATTTCATTGACTTAATTTTGCTGATTTAAATAAAAAATCTGTATTTTTCCGGCACAGGGGTTTTAATTAAGGATGTCGTTAAATTAGTTTTAAATTTGATTGATTTGTTTAATTTCATTGATTTGTTTAATTTGATTGATTTGTTTAATTTCATTGATTTGTTTGGCAGGACAAACTTTTTTGCACGTTTTGACAACCTAATGCCGTGCTTATGTTTATTTACTCTAGATGTTATGATGAAAAAGAACAAATATGTCACCTTTCTCCAACTATCACTAAAGAAATCAATTTTTAAACATTCCACACTAAATTCTTTCACTATTAGGCTTATATTTTTACATTTACTATTGTCACATTCTCCTCGGGGGCAGGTTTAGGGGACCTGGGGTTTAGAAAAAAAAGAACAATATTGTTGGATACTGTAGTATTCTGTATATATACACACTGTAATCGGTATCAGTGTATGTGCACGGCCTTATAGAAAAATGGGGAGGTTAATAATACCCCCCAAACATGCCTTCCTCCCCCCACACTGCCTCGCAACATAAATAATACAAAAATCCTCAAACCAAACCCAGAAAATTTGGTGGGAAAATTAATGGCGGGGTTTCTCAACTAAATTTGCGGATTTTCTGCTCCACAGATTTTACGAGTTTTCAAGTCCCCCTAAGGGAAAGTCTGTAAATGTATGGGGGAGAGAGTAGGCTTGATTTTAGCTGCTGACCGGCCTACACAACATTCTCTGACGCGCCACCCATTTTGTAGACACCATTTTGAAAATATATTTTGCATTTGGAAATAATACGCAGAGAAGAAAACGTCTACGTTATTTTTTGTAAAGTTTCCCGCAAAAAGCACCCCCCCCCCCTCACATTCCGCCCCTCTATACATTTTTTTATAAATAAATATAAACATATATGATAGTTACTTATAGGTTTGGGATATTTAATACAAATATTGCATTCCTCTTTTTGAAAATATTTAAAACTTTAAGGAATACAAATACACTACTCAACTTGATTATCTATCTCTTTCAGTTTCTTTCACACAAAGTTTAAAATATCATATATTTCTTTCTAAATTCATAATTATTTATAGATACTATCATATTATATTATATTGCAGTCTTGCATTGTTTATCAAAAATACAAAGATGTTTTAATGAAAATATTATAAAAAAGTATTTTTAAGAAAACATTCCAAATCATATTTTCTAATGTTTAGATCATTAATATAAAATGAAGTTTTTAAAAGTCATTTGACGAAATAAATAGACTTCAGTTACATTATTTGGATTTCGGAGATCACAGGAACCCATTTGACCTCTATCTATCTATCTATCTATCTATAGAGGGGGAGGGGGGCACCATTAGTTCAAAATATCCCCACTAGATGGATTCCTCGTGGAACTTGAAGTTGTAGTTGTTTGTTGGTGAGGGCTGAAATTAGAATTATGATAATTTAAATCAAAAAAGAAATATTTTTAAGCTGCAAACATATTTTTAAGTGACTCGTGGGTCTCCATGTAAAAAGCGGTGTATTTGATTCACAATGGTAGCTTTGTTTAATGAGTGTGAAACCGAGATCATTTCTTTTCTGTCGGAGCATTGAATATTTTCAACTCTGGATTCTCTGTGACATTTATTTGCGAAGTCAGTTTCAGAGAATTAAATTCGTCATGTTCTAAAAAGAAAACCGGCAATATCATAATCATTGATACTGGGATATAGATTTAAAGGACCAATTTAAATCGTACATATGTCTCTTTAAAGATTAAATTTAATGTAAATCTAAAAAAATATTACAGTGTATGTACATTGTACAATGATAAATAATGTACATAATAAATAGTATTCTTACTTTCGCTTCATCTTGAAGAGGTAAGTAGACGTAGAGGAACACTACTTCGTCAGTCTAGTTAATACCGTACAATTATTATATGTACACACTGTACAGTGGTACAATGAAAACATTGACAATTATTGTCGTCTTCCATTTAGAAATTAATTACTTACAATTTGTAAATCCTGAATTGAAATGTTAAAGTAAGAAGACGAGAATAATGGCGCTATATGTACACAACGAGGGTGTAAGTTTGTATGTCCGTGCAGGGTGGGTTTGTATGTATGTCCGTGCAGAGTGGGTTTGTATGTTTGTGCAGGGTGGGTTTGTATGTATGTCCGTGCAGGGTGGGTTTGTATGTATGTCCGTGCAGGGTGGGTTTGTGTGTATGTCCGTGCAGGGTGGGTTTGTGTGTATGTCCGTGCAGGGTGGGTTTGTGTGTATGTCCGTGCAGGGTGGGTTTGTGTGTATGTCCGTGCATGGTGGGTTTGTGTGTATGTCCGTGCAGGGTGGGTTTGTGTAAACATAATAATAAAGATCAAGACTGCTCAATAAAGCTTAGATAAGATTACAAACATTCGGAAGGGGAGAGGAATAAAAGTGGAGAAATGGGAAGAAGGGAGAAAGGGGAAAGAAGGGGGGGAAAGAGGAAGATTGTGGGAAAAGGGGTAAGAGGGAGATGGGAAGAAGGGAGAATAGGGAAAGAATGGAGGAAAGAGGAATATTGTGGGAAAATAGGGTAAGAGGGAGATGGGAAGCAAGTAAGTAGGCCGGAAGAAAAGAGTATCAAACTATTTCTTTTTGTGACAACCTAAGACACATTAAATTGCTTAAATGTCGTCCTCCTATTCCACATTATTTTTATATCCCATTGTAGGTACTGATCGACATCGTTTTGAGGTCCGTTTTAAAGGGAGTGTCCGCGAAAAATGAAACGGGGTATAGGCTGACGTGGAAAATTATTCTTTGGTGATCGCTACTAATCTTACTCCTACATGCTGCGTCTATAAGGAGAAAATGGTTAAACTCTACTCATACTAAGAAAAAGTAGCGTCCATAAATTCAGAAAGTTGTAACAATTCGACTCGGATCGTAAAAAAATCATTTTAATTAAGTTAGTACAAGTACAGCCTATCATCGGTTTTTTTTTCGACGCATTCTTCGTTTATAGCATTTAAAGTTTTTCAAACTTTTAAAGATTCCAGAATAATTTGATATGAAAAATATTAATTCAAAATTGCACGCTCGATAAGTTTTCTTTTGTTACATTTGGCAAAAATGTTATAATGACAAGAGATATTAAGCAAACGATTCTTTAAACGATTAGTAAAATCGTTTTTCGTTTTCAACATTTTTTTCGTTAATATCTTTAATCAGAGATGAAATTTTGTTTAATTTGTTGAAAGTAAACTCATCTCAGTTCGTTACCCATCACTAGTTATATACTATACCTCTGAATCATTTTTAACTCCATGAGGGCACATTGATGGGATGTTAATACACTGCCAGGGAGAACTGCGGTTTTTTATCCCGTTCAGAACAATTACAGGGGTTCCCTGAGAAATAAAAAAATTGTGCAATAATGTTGGGAAAAAATATTTATTAAAAGATGTTTTTTTAATAAAGAAATTTTTATATTTTTGGTTTGTTTTGTTAAATCAAATCTGTTCGTTAACTTAGGTTTGGAAAAATATTTATTGAATACCGTATTTTCTTAAAATCCAAACAATTTTACGACTCTTTCTTGAAAGTTTGTCAAATTTCGTCGTACGAGAGTACAATATTCAAGCAATCAACATTTTAACTTAAGTTTTAAATTGAAGTGATAAATGTTACCGTGGTTTCAACGTTTTAATGGGAAAATAAAAGATGGCACAGAAAAATCAAAAATAAATTATGAATATATCTGCACAGTGCCTCCAGCGAATATCATTCTTTTCATCCTATAGAATTAATTTTAAATCAATTTTAATTTCTTATTTCTTAAAGAGAATATGATTCAAAAATGTAAGAACACACAGATTAAAGAAGTAGAAGGTAGACTGTATGTGACATAATACAGTGGTAACCAGAAAACAATGGAATAGAAAGACGACAATTTAGCAATACTTTAGCGTTTTGATGTTGTTACAAAGCAAATATTTTTACTAGCAACTTAGCAATTAGCTGACTTGAGTTTAAAAGTCGTCTTCCTATTTCAGAGTTTTCTGGTTATCACTGTATGAGAAAATTAAAGTTTATCCGGTGACAAAAAATTTTCTACTTCTTATTTGATTTATGATCTGAGGCGTGTTCATGGGGGGGGCTATGGGGGCTAAGCCCCCCCCCCCCATCTTTGAACCAGTGAATCTATTGATTTCAGGGGGTTTTTGCAGGCCCCAACGGGTGCTAGACCTCACTGGAAAGAAAAAAAATTAAGACCCCCCCTGAACAAATTCCTGAATAATCCCCTGTTTATGGTTGAATCTCACGTACAATCTACGTTGGTTTGGCATGAAGGGCTAGGTTCGAAAGGAATTGAGTCTTCGCCACAGATTTTGATTTTCTAATTCCTATATCTTTGCAATCCAATTTCGTTGACCTTAGATATTTCAAACTATTTATTTTGCTAGATCAAGTAATCTAAGTTTGAAAAATCCAATCTGTAAACCATTATATTGCCAAGAATTAGGGATTTGAAAATTTGAGTTTTTGGAAAATTCCTGAGTAACGGTATAGTAAGCTATGCTTTATAAAAAGAAATTATTATGACACATTTTAACGTAACCTATACCCTTAATTATCTAAGTGAATACTCATTTTAATTATAAATCAACGTTTTGGAATAGAAATTGCAAGAATGGTTCAAATATTGTTTTTATGCTTTTATTTTCAGTTTAACATATTTATAGATTAATTTTCTGAAGTCTGAGCTAACTTTTTTTTCGTAAAAGGGCAAGTTCTAGCTATTTCGTAATTTTTCTTTTAAAATAGAAAATTCTGATTATTTTATAATTTACCGGAACTTCCAGGCCTAGACTGTCCCAACTAACCCAGTCCTTTCCGTCAAAGGGTTCAACAACCCTCCAGGGGAAATCCTAAAAAATAGTTTTATTAACTTGTGTGAAGGGTTTTATCAATTGTTATGAAATTATAAACGATATGTAATAAATATAGTAATAACCCCTATATCTTGGAAACCTGAACCTACCTGTATATATATTTCGTTAAAATCACCTGACCGTATAATCGGTCAGTTTAATCTTTACATGTACCTTTTACTTAAATAAAGTTAGTTGAATATAGACTCTGGTTAAGAACGGTTAGAGATACAATTACTCGGTAGAGAGGATAGAGTCTGATAGCTTTGTGTGTTTATAAATACATACTTGGACCAACCAGTGTTCGGAAGAGAGGTAGCATTGTGTGTTCGGTAGAGAGGATAGAGTCTGATAGCTTTGTGCGTGTATAAATACACACTTAGACCTACCAGTGTTCGGTAGAGAAGATAGAGTCTGATAGCTCTGTGTGTGGGTAAATACACACTTAGACCTACCAGTGTTCGGTAGAGAAGATAGAGTCTGATAGCTTTGTGTGTGGATAAATACACACTTAGACCTACCAGTGTTCGGTAGAGAAGATAGAGTCTGATAGCTTTGTGTGTGGATAGATGCACACTTAGACCTACCAGTGTTCGGTAGAGAGGATAGAGTCTGGTAGCTTTGTGTGTGGATAGATACACACTTAGACCTACTAGTGTTCGGTAGAAGCTTTGCGTGAAGATAAATACATACTTAAAGACTTGCCAGGATTTGGTAGAGAGGATGGAGTTCGATATCTTTGTGTGTGGATTGAGACACACTTAAAGAAATATTGGAGTAAGGCATTTATTACAGATAAATGAAAAAATGAACAAACTTTGAAAAATTCATACGTTGGCTTTTAAATCAAGAAGATTTCAAAGTTATAATGATTTAAATATTTCAAAACATTTTGAAATAAGTAGATTTAAATTCATTTTTTTCTCATAAACTGGAAAGCTATTGTTTTAAGTCTTGAGAAAGTGGTATAGTTTTTATATGTTTTCGAAAATGGAAAATAAAAATGTTATTTTTAAATGACAAAAATTGAACAAATCTTGCAGAGAAAGTTTATTTTTTTGAAAGGTGTGTTTTTGATACTACAACAAATACCTTTTGACTGTCTTGAACTTCTTGGGTGGTATGGAACTCGATTGAAGCAGGCATATGATGAGATACTGGTACCTTATATGGATCCACTGGTGTCTGATAAAAAAGAAGGGTTCATACTATGAAAGCTGGTAAGTCTGGTGAAAGAAATACATGACTTACTCATTAAGGGTGTTTCTCTACAACTGTAATGTTTGATTTGCTCAAATTTCAATCAAAACTTGCAATTAATATATTATTAGTAAAATAAGATTGGGACATTTAGGTTTTCAGAAAAATCGCCATTCATATGAACTTTTCTAAATGTTGGTTTAGCTGTGATTAGAACAGACTCCATTTAGATATATACAGTCTCTGGCTCGATCTCTCATGTGGCTGACACACTTATTAATTTCTGCAGGCTGCAGGGAAACAGAAAACTCTTCCAAATAATTTTAAGCTCTTCATCAGTAGCAGGTTGAGCAATAACTGTAACCTGAAGGCTCGGCAAACCTGAAGCTCATTTCGAAGTTTTCCATATCCCAGGATAATCCGGATTTTCTACTCTTCAGTACTAGGGCTATTTGACCTATCAATTCTGACTGGAGCCATTTTTTTCAACTGCAGAATTTGAAATGTCACTCAAGGATTTTTAACCAAGTTTTGCGCATTTTTGCAATACAGTTTTAGCAAATCAAAAATATCAGTTGTAGCGAAACACCCTGTTGATATTTATTTGCTTAAAAAATCAATTATATGGCAATTGTCTAACCTTGCAGCATTCCACGGTAGTTTTAGCAACTTCTGCTTCAGCAGTTGCTGTAGTGGTAACAGTTGCAGACGGCATTTTATGCTGAAATCAAAATAATTTTCGATCATCTTTTTGTAATTTAGATAAAATTTTAAAAACCAACTTTAAAAAAAAATATTTAAATTTGTTCATCTTTAAATATTATTTAACTTTCCTGGGGTGAAGTAAAAATTGTTGCAAAAACAAGCCTGTCTTATACAATTTAACATTAGTTCGGAAATATTTGTCCAAATTTCAAGTTTTTTTATTCTTACATGTTAACACTTTCAGACCCAAAAGCTGACTAAGGCTCGTAATGCTCATATTCGGTTTATATACTGGGGCTGGATGCTTACAAATCCAACCTGGTTACTAGTTACGATAGCAGATTTTATAAAATATATATTTCTTAAATTTATAACGTTTCTTCACAAAAAAAAGTTTGTTAAAAGAATTACAGAATAGGCAAAGTGTTGAAATGCAAGTTCATAGCTCAATTTTTCAATGCAAGCTAAAATAGACAGATGAAAAAATTAAAAAAAATATTTCATTTTGTTTTAAGCAAATATCAAAGTGTGACAAATGTTTCTACATCCATTTTTCAAGGGCTTTTCAAATATTTAGTTTTTAGATCTGTAGCTTCAGTCACAAAAAGGTTATTTTAGATTTTTTCTCTCAGACCGGACTTTTTCGCCCTGTACATGCATCAAAAAAAAAATCTACAAAAAATCTTTTAAATTATTTTCATTAAAAGTCAAAAAATTTCACGATAATAGAGTCAACAATAAAAAAATGCCATAACAGAAAAAAAACTACAAGGGGGGCGCCAAACGCTCCCCCCCCCCCAGTCTGTGAATGGATATAATAACTCTTCGGAAAAAGGAATTATGATTGAAAACATGCACGAAGAGAAAATAATTTTTTTTAAACGCATCAATTACATAGATTTAAAATAAAAGCATGAAAAAGATAAAGTAGCAAATTTAACATTATGAAACACAGTTATTAATTGAAGTAACAGCTATAGGACACTAAATGTAGTCTTTTTAAGGTGCTTGTGTGTTACGTTCACAATAACCATAAGATAGCAGCCCAAAGGAGTTACATGTAGTCGGCTACAGAGAGAAAGCCTTTTCTACGCCGACTACGTGTAACTTCTTTGGGCTGCTGCCTCAGGGCTATGTGAACGTAACACACAGGAATTTTGATAAGACGATGTCCTTCAGCTAGTTAATCATATAATAATTTTTAAAGGGCTACAAAATCAGCTTGCAAAAAAAGAAAGAAAATTAGATGTGACAGTTCTTTATAGCGTCTACATACTTTGCTTGTAGAGCTGTTAGGTTGTGTCCAATAAACACCCAAACGGCTGAGCCGATCGGGCCCATATTTCTGTGGGACCCCAGGGAGGTGTATGGATGATCAAATTTTTAAATGTTTGCCTCTACACAATTCCATTTTTGAAAATTTTGAAAATCCAGGATATTTTTTAATAAAATCTACGAATTTCTTTGTTTGTTTAATGTATAAATGATCACAGTTGAAATTGAGAACAGGCGGAAAGCGCCCTTAAAGCCTAGTAAGAATATAATATGATAGTGCTAGCAAAGTGCATGTGATGTAATTTGTAAATACGCTATTTATTGCGCAATGTTTGTATATTTTAAATCATATTTTCTTAAAATTGGAATTTAGTCGATCTAGTTAAAACTTGTTTTCCGTCCAAAATAATAAAAAATGAAACTTAATGAAACACAAAAGAAATATGAATTATTTTTTAATACTTGAAAAAACATTTTTTGTTGATCACAAGATTTAAACCCAAAACAACCAAAAAATATTTGTTTTTTGGGACACCTTCGCAGAATTTGCACACATGCTCTGGTGCAAAATGTGTTTACAGTACAGTACAGTACAGATATTGAGAAAAATGCAAACTAATCAAGAGATTGACTTGAGAATATCATTAAATGCATATATAGCACTCTTCTTTTATTTTATATTTTAAAATATTATAACTTTGTATAGTTTGCGCTAAACAACAGTTTTTTTTATTTAATCCTAGTATATAAATTTCCTTTCTGGCAAAAAAAGAGTGCTTGGCAAAAACTTGATGTAACTGTTGTTATATAACTTGACGTAACTGTTATATAACTTGATGTAACTGTTGTTATATAACTTGATGTAACTGTTATATAACTTGATGTAACTGTTATATAACTTGATGTAACTGTTATATAACTTGATGTAACTGTTATATAACTTAGTTTTAAAATATACTGCATAACCTACTAAATTCTAGAGGTGAAATGTTTAGGCAGGCAAGGGACATTTAAAAAAACGTGATTTATTTTATAAAAATATAAAACTGTGTGGTATTTGTTAACCAAGGTAAATAATATCATTAAATACCGGCAAAGCAGGATTCATTTTATAATTCGCGGATTTTTTAAAAAAAAAACACTTAAATTGAAAAGATTTTTATATTCAATATCTTGTGTAATCTGTTTTTGTTTATTTTTTATTTAACAAATTTGTTAAACCTTTAACAAACAAAAAAAGGAAAAATTCTGGCACGAAAAAACTTATTATTGTCCAGCATGATAACAAAACAATTGCCTTTTAATATTTAATTTTTTTCTTGCCCAGATAGTTTTATTGTTATTTTTACGCTGCAGCTTGACATAAAAAATACACAAATCACTATAAATACGCATCCAATTAAAATACGAAAAACAAAACATTTAAAACTTTGCTTTTTGCATAATTCTTGTCATCTGGTCACTTTTAATTGTTTAGAATTATCTGTTAAATTTATGTTGAAGTGAGTAACACAAATATTATTCGTTAAATGACAAATTTAGATTAGTTTTTATTTGTGCGTATTCTATTTTAATAGAACGAATCTGGAAGATTTTCCCATTCTTCTAGGTTTAAAAGTATTTAATTTTCTGATAATGTTTCCTTCCAGCGGAAATGCGAAATTCATTTTTGTATAGAAACCACAGTCAAAAATAGACAATTTTAAAAATTGACAAATATTCATAATCGATCAGACAAAATACATCTGAAATTATGCTTACAGTCCCTTTAAATTTGAATAAACTGTCACACCTCCGCAAATTATAACCAGTATTTTTTATTTTGGCGAAACAGGGCGTTCCAATACGCAGGAGATTTGACCAAACACTAACCAACAAAAGATGAACTTGATGTCGTCACTATTTCCATGTTTATTGGGACACCCTGAATGCGCATAAATTAATCGTTGTTTTGTTGGGACACCTTGCAAATAAAAGTAACTAAGAAGCTCTATTGAACATGAGGCTTTAAAAAAATAGCAATTTTTTTGACAACTTTCAATTGTCATGGTCGAAGGATTTCAAAAATGTTTTATACATTATCCTTTGCGTTCTTTATATAATTCATGACCGAATTTTGTAAACGTATTTTGATTTTTGCATATTTTGAAAATGGTTACCATTAGCATTTTTTCACGCTTAATACATAATAATACAAAATAAAATGAATTTGATGAATTAAATTTAAAACAATCTTCTCTCCTTTAGCCCTCTTCCTGGCCATACTATCCTTTTTCCTTTTTCCGCTATTCATGCACCCTTTCTCCTCTTTCATGCTCTCTTTCTCCTCTTTCATGCTCCCTTTCTCCTCTTTCATGCTCCCTTTCTCCTCTTTCATGTTCCCTTTCTCCTCTTTCATGTTCCTTTTCTCCTCTTTCATTCTCCCTTTCTCCTCTTTCATGATCCCTTTCTCCTCTTTCATGCTCCCTTTCTCCTCTTTCATGCTCCCTTTCTCCTCTTTCATGCTCCCTTTCTCCTCTTTCATGCTCCCTTTCTCCTCTTTCATGCTCCATTTCTTCTCTTTCATGCTCCCTTTCTTCTCTTTCATTCTCCCTTTCTCCTCTTTCATGCTCCCTTTCTCCTCTTTCATGCTCCCTTTCTCCTCTTTCATTCTCCCTTTTTCCTGTTTCATGCTCCCTTTCTCATGTTTCATGCTCCCTTTCTCCTGTTTAATGCTCCCTTTCTCCTCTTTCATGCTCCCATTCTCCTCTTTTATGCTCCCTTTCTCCTCTTTCATGCTCCCTTTCTCCTCGTTCATGCTCCCTTTCTCCTCTTTCTCGCTCCCTTTCTCCTCGTTCATGCTCCCTTTCTCCTCTTCCATGCTCCCTTTCTCCTCGTTCATGCTCCTTTTCTCCTCTTTCATGCTCCCTTTCTCATCTGTTTCTCACATATTGCGCATTCTTTCTGGGCTGCGTTTTTTTTGAGTTTTTAAAGCTTCTCCGTGGAATATGTTATTTACAAAAAACTCGATTAAGAATATCCAGAAAAATCCAGCTTTTTTCTCTCGTTAGAATTTAGATGCATCATTTACATTTGAACATTTGTGTAAAATAGATCTATATATATCTTACCATAAACATATTGATAAAAAAAAACTTTTTTTAAGTGCAGAGAACATTATTTATAAATGACAATCTGAAACTTTGGCAATAACTTTTTAAGTAAAAAAAATCAGGGTTAGATTAATTGGAAATGATTTTCTCTAATTATCGGCACCCATATACCCTTCTTACGATGTATCTTTCTTTAAAAAAGCTTGATAACACGAATATAGAAAAATCTGGTTTTTTTCTCGTTTGAACCTTGAAATATAATTTTGTATTATTGATTTGAAAACTTGTTTAGAATAGACGCAACACAGTACGATATAGATCACACTGTTGACATATTTGAGTACGGTTATAGTAATAAAAACTGATATTTATTAGAAATTAAAGGGAGAGCTCGCAAATTTTGACTTGACTGACAATAACCAGAAAGCAAAGGAAGTGCATGCAAATTTTAATTTTAACCCACATTTACCAGACATTAAAGGAAGTGCACGCTGATTTAAATTTTAACCCACATTTACCAGAAATTAAAGGGAGTGCACGCTAATTTTAATTATTTCTCACATTTATCAGAGATTAAAGGGAGTGCACGCTAATTCTAAGAAAGGGAGAGATTTTTTCTTAAAAATCATTGTCAATTGATCAGTCCTAGAAAATTTCTTCTGAAATCAATTCTGTATTCTGTAGAAATCTTTTATTGTAAAATCAATTTATAAGAATTTTCCAAATTTTAACAACTTTTAGAAAAGCTACATAAATGAATTGTGTCTTTTTCACAATCTCTGATACTCTTATCACTATATCTTTGCAACCTTAGATATTTAAAAATACAAATTCTGTTAGATAAAGTATTAAAAATTTTAAATTTCCAAGATTTACACTCTCAGGTTGCAGGGATATATTTACACTATCAGGCTGCAGGGATATATTTACACTGTCAGGTTGCAGGGATATATTTACACTGTCAGGTTGCAGGGATATATTTACACTGTCAGGTTGCAGGGATATATTTACACTGTCAGGTTGCAGGGATATATTTACACTGTCAGGTTGCAGGGATATATTTACACTGTCAGGTTGCAGGGATATATTTACACTGTCAGGTTGCAGGGATATATTTACACTGTCAGGTTGCAGGGATATATTTACACTGTCAGGTTGCAGGGNTTGTTTGGTGTACTGTCCCGTTTGGTGTACTGTCCCGTTTGGTGTACTGTCCCGTTTGGTGTACTGTCCCGTTTGGTGTACTGTCCCGTTTGGTGTACTGTCCCGTTTAGCCAAAAATGGTCACTAATTGTACTGTTTAGCTTTATCCAGCTGGTTAATAATCGGCCTGATACTTGAAATAAACCAGAGTTAACAATAAAGTCAAAGAATAAATACGAACACAAAATAAATTCATTTTATATCATATTTCCCTAATCGCACCCAATGAACAGATGGACGCTTAAAAATAGTCCCTTTAAATAAAGTATCTTGATGTTTTGATAAAGGGTGTGAAAGAGTACAAGAAATTTGAGATTTCATATTAAATAAAAACATCTGTGTCAAAATTATAACAAATTTAAAAAAAGACAATATGTTAATTTATATTTATATGTTAGATGTTCTAATAGCTGATTTTTTAAACTTGTTTTTTAATCCAAGAAATAACAAAGTTTTTATTTATATATTTATTTCCCAAATATCGATTATCTCTATTTCTGTTTACATAATTATAATTATCAATTCAATCTTGAATAATGTAATCAAAAAAAAAAAAAAAATACAACATGGGGGTAAAGACTATAATAACTTTATTTCACATGATTCTAGCTTTTGTAAATATAAAAAAATCTAAGATTTAATCTCAGCTTAAAACACAAACTAATTAGGCAAATTAATGTCAATTAAAATCTAGAGTAATTGATTGCAAATTGTAGGAACACGTTTTATTGGTAAAGAAAACAAACTACATAATTTACATAATTTACGTCTTTTGTACAATCACACATCTGTTTAAAAATAAATTTTTCAATCAAATTTATGATTAAATTTATATTTAAGTATTTTACTGATTCAAAGATTGATCATGATTTAATGATTACATATTAGATCGATTGATTGATATACACAGTTGATTTGGTGCTTAAATGATTTTTGATAAATATGCAGATTTACTGATCAAGTTACTAAATTATTTATTTATTGATTGATTTAATCCCCAGATGTAGACTCAGCGATTTTAAACAGTGTTAGGCACACATTCTGGAAATAAATAAAGAAAAAAAATTAATTAAAAAACAAATTAATATATAATTTCATTTTTTTAGCCCATTCGGTCTGCAATGAATCTAGGCTCTACACACGTCCGTCTAAATCGACTATTCGTACTATACTACTTTATTAAATACAGGCAAATAGAACTCACCAAAATGGCCGGTCAGGGTCAACATGAAACATAGATATGATAGATAAACGAACATAGATAATAAAGATATTACTAGCATGATTGCATAATTCATTACAAGTCCAGCCATATAGCTAACATACAGGGTGTCCCATATCATTAGATCGCCAATGGGTCTAAATAACGATTTTCGGGACTTATCAGGAAATTTAAGAAGATTGAATCATTTTGTAAACTTGAATAAGAGTTATATAAAAATTTTATTATGTGTATTATTTTGGCGCTAAAGCTTGTAGATAATCTAACATGATATGGGACGCTCTGTACAAACCAATATATATGAGCGAAGGAAGAGCTTTAATACTTAGATAAAACACTCTATATAAGAATATATAAAATGTATTAAAGATATATAAGATTCATAAATATATATAAAGATACATAAGATATTGAAAATATGCATAAAAGATGAAACAAATATATATAAATGAAGACGACAACAAAATTAATTTAGAAAAACGAAAGGCTAATTATAGAAAGTGATTTAAGGAAAATGATATGGAGCAAGAAAAGTGACAGTGACAATTTTATCTATCAAGTAGATAGCAAGAAAAATCATAGACAGCTAGCAAGATGAAAAGAAAAGAGGACACAGAAGACGACCTTGTTTAAAATCTTAAATCTAAAGACGACCTTCATCAAGGCGGTGCCCCCAGGTTCTAAAAGTTACTCCCTCCGTTTACCCGCACTTGAACGATGTTACTTGAAGAATAAATGTTCGCTATTAAAGTCGACACACTCAACTTAGAATCTACCGAGTTCACCAATCAAAATTTGAGGCAAATCAGTCCGGGGGATCCTAAGTTATGATCGGACAAACAAACAGACAAGCAGAGATTACAACTTTATATATAGATTATAAATACACTTAAAAAATCCTCGAAAAATAAATTAGAAAGGTTTTTTGTTTTTAACTATTCGTAACTTATTTTTTTTCAAAATAAAAAAAGTGAAAGATGATGTACGGATTGTTGGTTTTTTTAGCTTGAAAATTGTTTATTTATATAATTTCTAAAACGCTCAAATCATTTTTGGAGAGAAACCACAATTAGTTTTGAAACAAAAAATATATTTTATTCATTCTTGAAGGATTTTTAGTATATCATTGTGAATCAGACATGTCACTCTTTCATTAATTTCTTTAATTTTATTCAATTATGTCAACAATTGTGTTATAATTAATTATTATTTGTATTTTCAGTATATACAGCCGTAGTACATTTGAATATCCGAGCCGAGTCAACCTTTCCGATCCCAGTTTGTACTGTGTCGCCCGGACATTGGGTAAATAAAGCAGACACTCAATAGGACTAGCCGGTGCAACAAGGTTGACGAGGTCAGACTTTAGGTTGAATTTACTTTTACTAAAGGGTCAGGGCCGGTGCGTGACAACTGATAACTATGTGAACTGAACAAATTAGATAATAATTTTTCAGTTTTTTATCTCCTCTTGCAAAACCTTTATGCAAGGGTAAAATATGCTACTAGGATTCTTGAGCTCGACATCTTATGCAGTACTTTGAAAAGGGCCTAATCATAGACAAATTTAAATAACAGATAGGACACTGGATGTCGTCTTTTCAAAATTTAATTGAATCTCGTTCACAATAACCCTGAGGCAGATGCCCAGAGGAGTTTCGCGCAGTCGGCGTAGAAAAGAGTCTCTCTGTCTTGTAATTCTACGCCGAATGCGCGAAACTCCTCTGGGCTTCTACCTCAGGATTATTGTGAACGAGTTTCATCCAAATCTTGAAAAGCCGACATCTAGAGGGCCTATTAAAAATCCACTATGTATACACCTGGAACATCCCACTTCTAAAAACGTATGCAGGAGCCTGACTGCCTACAAGCCCATCACGTGATCCAACACTGCAAACCTAGAATATTATGAAAATAAAAATAAAAATGAATGGCATAAAGTACAGGGTGTCCCACGAAACATGACAGTAGGTAAAAAGCAAGATGACATTATTGCAATGCTTTAAGTGTATTTGATGCAATTAAAAAGGCACATAGTTTTGCGAGTAACTTATTAAGTGAAAGGAATTGAGTCTTTGCCACTAACTCTGATTTTCTAATCCCTATATCTACTTAACCAAATGTCGTAGACCTTATATATTTCAAAATAATCTAAGTTTGAAATATCAAAAGTTTACACAATCAGGTTGCAAAGATATAGTGATTAGAAAATTTGAGTTTGTGACGAAAGCTCAATTCCTTTGTCTATGCACACTGCAAATGTTTAATTGGAGTATTGAAAATTATAATTTGAGTCTATAAAGTCGTCTTTCTATTTCTGAGTTTTCTGGTTCTTTCTGTAGAATTATGCCTGCCTAAACTTGAATCTGTTACAAAGATCTTGATATTTTATCCCCCCGGCCCCTATTAAAAAAAACATACGATCAAAGAATGAAAAGTACGTATAAAAAATACATATTTTTATTAGATAATTTTTAGTGTTTAGTGTGTGTTTGTAAATTTGTAAAATGGCTTTTTAAATTAGATTAGAAGGTTGATAAGTAATGCACATACAAAATATTAAACTTTTTTTTTAAGTTAAGAAGTTTTAATGTAATAGTTTTAGACTTTTTTCTGATGATCAACCTGGGCAAAATTTTGGTGAATCCAAATTATAATTCCATAAAAAAATATAATACCTCTCTCTCTAACATATTACTGGCAATCTTTATAGATAGTCCGGCATCCTGTAGGATAGCAGAGATAAATACAGCATATACACCTGGCTCCTAGATAGATAGATAGATAGATAGATAGATAGATAGATAGATAGATAGATATATAGATATATAGATAGAGATATAGATAGATAGATAGATAGATAGATATATAGATAGAGAGATAGATAGATTTTTTCTGGTATATATTAACCCACATTATGACACAAAAAGATGGTAAAGGTTTCTTTGATTATATTGATAATGATGGTTTTTGTAGACTATATTGTCCATATTATTTCTATAATTGATATAGTGTATATGATCTAAAAATGATTACAGTGATTAGCTAAATATCCAGAAAATTACGTATAATGAGATAATTTAAAATATTTTTGAGTAAGTCTGTTTTGAAATGAGATTGAACTAGTAAAAGTACCCAGCATTGCCAGTTCATATTGTAAGTAATCGGGCATTGTTTTCAGACATTTAGAGTGAGATATAACGTTTCCAAATTGTATTCTGGACAAGTTTGCTTTTGTTATATTATGCAGTTTTCTTCTTCTCTGAGCAAAGATATTGATCAAAACGATTTTACTAATCGTTTAAAAAATCGTTTTGGTCAATATCTTAGATCAGAGTAAAAATTTAGTTTTTTAGGACTACATAGATCTACGGTTAAGGGACTATATAGTGGACAAATGTTAGATAAATTACAAAAAAAATGCTGTTGACTGAAATAAGGGACTATATGTATATAGTGAATATGACTTGGCCAGGGACTATCAGACACTAAGAAATACAGGAAAAGACACTAGAAGAACAGATTTTTTTTTGACGCTTCGTTCACATGTTTAATTTAATAATGCCGTTCACTTTAAAGATCTTGGAAGTATATTATATAAGAACTTTAAAGATCTTGGAAGTATATTATACAAGAACAAACCATATGGATATTTTAAGAATTTGGTATATTATTGAGCGCAGACCCAACCAAATTAAAAAATGCTGTTTTTTACTTCAAATCCTGAAATTGCAATGTTTAAAAAAAAAAAATTATGTTTATTTTTACAATGTTGTAATTTTCAAGTAAACTTTATTCTTTATATACATTTAAAAATAAAAATCTAATTTAAATAAAAAATTACTTTGTGAAAATCTAGTTTCACTCAGGGGGGGGGGTAATGGACTGCACCCCCGAAACCGACCTTGGTCACAAGAACTACACTCAAGCGTGCTCTATGAAAACAATTACACTCAAAGCGTACTGTCTGACAAAATTTTTTTGAGTATGTACTTAATTTATGACACTTTATGAACTGTTATGTACTTAATTTATGACAGTTTATGAACCGTTATGTACTCTATGACCTAGAATATACCTGAATGACAAATTGATCATTAGCATCATCCCAGGGCAGTTTATTCAGAGCATTGAATCTAAATTTGATTACATTTTTAAACTAGATGTCCGATTATTGTTTACTATGGTTGTTAATCGTTTTCGGAAAAAAACGACCCAATCTTTTTGAATTTTTAGAAAACAAATAACGATCGTTTTTTATAGAAACAATAAGCACTTGTTTTTTATACGATTGTTTAAAAAAACTATCGTTTTTGAATAATTTTTTCATTGATAAATATGTTAATGATCGTTAACGAAACGACGAACTTTTTAACGTTGAAAAAAACGATTGTTTGTCGTCGAATTTCGTCTTATATGACTCCTTCCGATTAACAACGGTACCAAAAAGCTTTGTAAGATCAAGTACTAATAAGAAACAAATGTTATTTTTTTATTGATTATTTTCAATTGTGATCTCACCAAAGAAGTGACTCTCGCATTTTTACTACAGAAAAAAAATAAGAAAATTGTCAAAATATGTTAAAGGGTACATTGAATTCTCCAACTTAGAAGTAAAAACTCCGGGTTTAAAATATTACCGTTCAAATTTCACCAATCCATTTCCAGTCATTGGTGTTAGAGTTGTGCAGTCAACATAAGGTCTATCATCTATAAAAAAATATTTTTTTAATTAAAATTATTTCTGTTCAGACTAGGTTGTGGAAATTTCAGGGCATGACAACTAAATCGTCTTTCGTCAAGGAAATAATTTGGGGTGCCCCCCCCCCCCCCATTATGTGTCAAAGACAAAATTTACAAAGTAATAACATTCAATCATGAACAAATGCCGAATAAAACATGCATTAATTTTTTTTTGTTAAAATACAAGATTAAAAAATTACTCGTTTTTTAAGAACTCTCCTGTAATTGTAATTTAAAAGATTCTAAAAAGCGTGAAACTCAAAACAAAGTAATCAAGTTTTATTGTCATAATTAGTGAGTCCATAATAGGTCCAATATCAGACAAGTTACTTATTTGACTAGTGAGTTCAAAATAGGTCCAATATCAGACAAATTACTTACTTATCATAATAAGTAAGTCCAAAATAGGTCTAATAGCAAACAAATTACTTAATCGTCATAATAAGTGAGTCCATGATAGGCCCAATAGCAAACAAATTATTTACTCGTCATAATAAGTGAGTCCATAATAGGTCCTATAGCAAACAAATTACTTACTCGTCATAATAAGTGAGTCAATAATAGGTCCAATAGCAAACAAATTACTTACTCGTCATAATAAGTGAGTCCATAATAGGTCCAATAGCAAACAAATTACTTACTCGTCATAATAAGTGAGTCCATGATAGGTCCAATATCAGGATGATTAGGATCCAGCTCCTTTCCCCCACCTCCAACCTAATAAAAAAATTTTAAAATATTATATTTTCATAAAAAAAATTGTTACCTTATTTATAATTTCTGCTTTAACCTTGTCTAAATCCTTCTGAGTAGTGAACTCAGTTTTCAGATTTTTAACTAAACAAAAGAAACAAAAGAAACAAAATAAATAAAATAAACATCAAAAACATCAAAAACTGATTCTATAATCCCTATATCTGTACAATCCGATGTCGTAGATCTTAGATATTTCGAACTATAAATTTTGAAAGATTAAATAGTCCAAGCTTGAAATATCAAAGGTCTATACACCTTAAGGTTGCAAAGATATAGGGATTAGAAATATTTGAGTTTGTCGCAAACACTACGTTTTTTTATTATATAAATGTTTGTGCCCAATGAAAGCCGAAACGGCGGAACCGATCGGGCCCATTTTTTTTTGCTTATACAAAATGTAAATAATTTAAAATTACAATAAATATTACCATAATCAAAGTGTTTTTTTAATTTGGTTAGTATATATTAGTACATTTTTAATATGTATTTTTGAAAATTCAAATAAACATTTTAACTATTTTAACTATTTAAAAATTTTTTTTTTGTATTTCTATTCAACACTTGAATGATAATTTTAAACCTAAATCTAATTTTACCCATGGTTTCCAAAGATTTAGAATTATCTTGTATGGCATCTATAGCTTTACTCAGTGTTGTCAGTTTTGAGGTTTCACTACCCATTCCAGGTTTATTATCTGTTTTCTCCAACTTCCCTGCCACGAAAGTATCATTATTATTTTGGTTATCATCATAACCATTATTTCTAAGTGATAGCACAGGATTAGTCGTAGTTTGGGAAATAACTGGAATTGAATTTAAAATTTATGAAAATTAAATACTTCAAAGCTTGTGCACTGAGCAGTGTCAGTAAAGAATTTTTAATTAGACGTTATTAAGGAAAATTACTCCTTTTCTTCCCCAGTTTAAAATTTATATTAGATGTAACTGTATTGTATAGCATTATATAACGTGAGAATCCAACTTTGCATGGAAAATTAATTATACGCAAGTATAAGTATTAAAAAGTAAACCAATTCCTGAATCGGCGAAGGGGTTCATGAGTTATGATCAGACATCAAAATAAACAAACAGAGATTCCTTTTTTCATATATATAGAAGATAAACATACATGATTAAGGGAAAAGAAAAAAAACGGAACTACAAGAAACATTAAAGGCCTGCGATAATTTTTCAACACTGTATTAACCTGGAGAATGGAGTTGTTTTACCTAGCTGGATCCAGATTTTGCTACTGACAGCTTTAAATATACTCCTTAATAGCAAGCCTGGTTAGCTGTTATTAAGTATCCGAACTCATTGGAAAGACGTTAATTCTTTCAATTGAATCTGGTTCTATGTGTAAGCATCAAGGGAGCTCAGAACAGTCAGGTTCTTCTACAACTCTCTCCAGTTTCTTGTAGCTGAACAGAACCCTGTGTGGAATAACATGACAGTACACCTTACTTGGAAAAAAAAGGAAAAAATTGTGGGTTCTATCTCTCTCTCTCTTCCCGCTCCCTCTTGCCAGAAACAAGGAAAATGGAAACATCTGAAGTAGAATCCTGATAGGTTGTGCACCATGCACTATGATACCAGTTTATAATATGCTGATTGCGAGGGAAAGATAGCTGTTATAGACAAGGTCTGAAGCACTGTCCGAGATGAACTTACAAAAATCAAAAATTCTTTTGTTGAAAATATCCACTCCTTGCCTAACCTTTCTTATCCCATTTGTCATTATTATGGGGGAGTTCTGATAAGAGTGTATAATCAGAAATATGTGTCAAAGTGCATTTTTCCCTTGTCTACAAGAGATTAGAATGCGTAGATCTAAAAGAGAAGAACAGAAAACAGATGTATGATCAGAATAAAGAGAAGATACAAAAGAAAAAAAATCATTGCTCTTTTTAAATTTTGTTTTAAAAAATTGAAAATAAATTGTTAAAAATACATCATTAACTAATAAGGATAACCATCAAAATACGACTAATTGAATTTCTTTGCATTCTTGACAAAGATAAAATAATTTAAAAAACTTAAAATTGACACGGAAAATAATTCCCTGTGGACTATAGTAAACCATGGTCAAAGGTAAATCCCTTCCTGCGCAAATTGTTTAGATGCATTTAATGCTAATTTGACTTACCTACTTTTTCACTTAGTTCTTTCATTCCTTTCTCCTGAAGATCAACATTAAAAAATCCAAACCTTCCTTTCCCAGAGCCCGCGATTTAAAAATTACGACTCGGGCCGTAATTTTTAAACCCGACCCGATCTTCGACCCAACTCTGACGACATCTTGTGTCACATAATTGATGGCCGCAAGATCTTCGGCTCGACTTAAGGAGTTAGGCCAAAGAAAATGAAACAAACTTGGTTGGTTTTAGTGGAAAAATAAGGGTCAATGTTGAGTCTTGTTCTCATCAAAACCCGATTTGCGCCAATTTCTACCATGTAAATCCGCCAAATAGAATATTAAACCGGTTCTTTTAACTCAACTCCGTTGAAAATAAGATGCAGCTTGAATCTGAAAGCTCAAGTCTTAAATAATGCCTAACGGCAGCTTAGACCCTAGCCCTATTTTCCCGAATTTTTTAAATCGCGGGATCAGAAATCACTTTAATAGATAGTCATGATTGGAAAAGGCATTTGAAGAAAAAAGATCCCAACCTTCATAAATATTTTTTTATTGTTTTTTTTTGCATAATTTACATAATTACATTTTTTATGTCAATCTTTTTCAAAGAAAATTTGATTTTAGTTTCTATTATTAATGACAATTACGATTATGTATTTAAAGGATATCTGTACAAGTATTTTTGTAGTGTCATGACAAATTTACAATGGTACTTTAAAAACCTTTGTCTGATCAATGATACCTTTGCTTCTTTAATAATGTAAAGTCACTTAAAAATCCGTTCACGGTCCCTTTTAAGAAAACAGTAAATTAAAATATTTTGAATGTTTTCCTGAGAGCTAAATTTATCTTCTAGTTTCTTCTGGGTTTGATTTAAAGTTTTGTTGAGAGAGTCTAAATCTTCTTTGCTCACTTCTAAACAAACATTTATTGTTTTGTATTCAGGTTTTTTATTGGTAAAATATTAATATAATAGCATCCGGGAACCCAGCGCTGCCAAGGATACTAAAATTTACTCACTCCGTTTACCCGCACTTGAACGATTTTACTGGGAAACTAAATTTTCGCTTTCATAGACGACCCACTTAACTTAGAATCTCAACACCAAGCTAAGAACATTCCCGTGGGTTTCCCGAGTTCCCCAATCTAAATCAAGGCAAATCGGTCTAGGGGTTCCTGAGTTATGATCGAACAAACAGACAGACAGGCAAACAATTTACAACTTTATATAAAGATAATCCTATCACCTGTTTTAGTTGTTTTAGGCTTCTCGAGTTTGTCTAAAATGAAAAAAATATCTCATAATTATATAAAAATCTGGCATTAAATGTTCTTATTAATATTTCTTCAATGTTAAAAATGTGTAAACTTTTCTTTTTTCTTTAAATTCATTATTAGGTTTGAAAATATATTTTTAACGAAAACATTTTTCTCGTTTGAAAATATATATTTAAAGGAAGTGACCACTTTCCAAAAGCTTTAATTTTCTCATTCCTTATATATTTGCAACCTGGTTGTGTACACCTTTCATATTTCAAACTTCGACTGTTTCGAAACAAAAGAATAGTATCAAATATCAAAGGTCTGGCACATAACGTTGTTCAATGATATAGAGATTAAAAAATTAAAACTTGTTGCGAGTATTAAGTTCCTTTGGATACCATGTTAATGGTGAACTAGGGTTAAATTGAATTTGAACCAGACCAACCCCTTGTACCGGCCTTAGTGACGTACGGCAAGTACCGGACTGAACCCTTGTACCGGTCTTAGTGACGCATGGCAAGTACCGGACTGAACCCTTGTACCGGCCTTAGTGACGAACGGCAAGTAGCAGACCAACCCCTTGTACCGGCCTTAGTGACGCATGGCAAGTACCGGACCCACCCCCTGTACCGGCATGAGTAACCCACGGCAAGTACCGGACAGACCCTTTGTACCGGCCTTAGTGATGCACGGCAAGTATACCGGACACCCCTTGTACCGGCCATAGTGACGCATGGCAAGTACAGGACTGAACCCTTGTACCGGCCTTAGTGACGCATGGCAAGTACCGGACCCACCCCCTGTACCGGCATGAGCAACCCACGGCAAGTACAGGACAGACCATTTGTACCGGCCTTAGTGATGCACGGCAAGTATACCGGACCTACCCTATCCTATGCCGACTGGGTTTCAACTTTGATCTTTTGCACATAGAGAATAGAATATATGGAGAGGAATTTACTAGAAAAAAGTGTAAAACGGCCATTTTGTTGTACTGTTTCCATACTGCAGGTGTACTTCACATATTTATGCTATATTACCTGTTGGGCCCTGGAATATCATTTTATAGAAAATCTAAAATTATTGTTAAAAGAAAACCAAATTATGAAATAGGCTGGTTTCATAATTAAACAATGATCATTTCACATAGACTCTATGCCTTCTACTTTACAAACGATGATTTTCCGTTATAACTATAAATCAAATGATGTTTTTTTCACCAAATTCATTATAAAGTTTATTTAACAGTTTAAAAAATTCGAAATTGAAATGGATAGTCTAGGGAACGTACTGTATTAATGTACTCTACTGCATATACTTTTTGAACATTTACATGATTTGTACACTTTGAACTCCCTTTCAGGCTGAAAGGGACTGAAAAAATTTATACCGAGAGATTCTTTTAATTCCTCTCTATATAATCTATTCTCTATGCTTTTACAGTACCCAGCCTATCATAAGCATATTAGTGACCTACCCCACTAGCTTAGTTTAGTGTTAGATACCATTATTTACCTATCTTAGCAGATACTTCCTTCAGACTGATTTTAACCTGTGAAACCTGGGTTTCCAGATTACTCTGCTTACCCTCACATCCTGATAGACCAGCCTGAAATAGAAGTTGGAGTTAAAATAATATTAGTAATAGTAAAAATGATAATAATGACGAACAATTTGTTTGATATGTGAAACAGTATGTTGAATGTTTAATATGTTGCACAATATGTTTGATATGTTGAACAGTATGTTCCATACATTGATCAGTATGTTTGATATGTTGAACAATATGTTTAATATGTTGAACAATGTGTTTAATATGTGAAACAATATGTTTGATATGTTGAACAATATGTTTAATATGTAGAAAAATATGTTTGATATATTGACCAATATTATTGATTTATTGAACAATATGTTTGATGTGTTGAACAATTTGTTTGATATACTGAACAATATGTTTGATATGTTAAACAATATGTTTGAAATGTTGAATAATATGTTTCATACTATAAACGGTTTAATCAAATAAAATGCACTTAACTAGAATTTATTACCATGATTATTCGATATCAATTTTAATCATTGTAAATTGAAAAATACTCACCGATTGTTCTTAATCAAAAGAAGAAAAAAAGACGATAATTATTCCTCAGCTTTTTTAAATGAAGTTAAATATCGTAAAAAATGTTCCTTGACTTATTTATTGACGCCATTTTATTTTTAAGATTTGAAATGGAAAAAAAATAACAGTTTTGTTCACCTTAATTTCCTTGTTCAATTTCTCGATTTCTTTTTTTAGATCTGAACTGTTTTCGCCTTGTTTACTCCCTACATCAAAATATTAAGAAATATTCCAATTAATTCTGTTTTTTTTCTACTGACAATATTTAAAAATAGTATTGATGTCATTCAAATTATTTTTTCCTTGTTTGATGTCATTCTGAATGGATTCAATTTGCTTGTTTGTCACAATAAGACTATCCTCCTCCTTTTTCATTCTCTTTTCCAAATCTTGAATCTTTTTCACTTGTATCTCCATTGTCTCAGTCTTTTTTTCCACACCCTGTAAAATAAAAGAGTTGAAGGGAGATACAAAGATGTTACTTTGGGTTTGGTTACGCCATTTCACAGCTGCTAGATGGATGTATGGCCGCAGTGCCCAGCCCCCTATTACTGTAGTTTCAGTAGAAGTAAATATATTTATATAATATTTATATTTACCGATGTAAGGATTCATCTCTAATTGGATAGAAAAATAGATGATACTACCATGTGTGTACACTTCTCGAAACAGTCGCAATCGTATAAAAGCAGTTTATGATAAGTGTACACACACATCTCTCTGTACTCGGCAATTACACAAATGTTTAGCAAAGTTTTAAACTAAATATTACTCGGTAAAAAGTTACTTTTGCAAAAAGAAAGTTTTAAACTCTTACTGCAGAAAAAATGTTGATTTGAATGTTTTTAGAGATTCAAAATTTCCATAGAAAAATTAATATTTGCCAAAATCAGGTTGAAAATTTACAAGGATTATGAAATAATAATTGTAATTAGTAGTCTACAAAAATGCTTCACATGAACTGCAGGAAATACAAGTACAAAAATTAAATTTCTCGACAAAAATATAAAAATTTTTTCAGTCTCTGGAAAAAAAATAATTTTCCTAAAAACTTCTTTTATAGATGAATAATATTGACATCAATTTCTTCTTCTTTCATGCTGGGGGTTTCTCTTTTCAAATACTGAATATTCATGCATTCTTCGACTTCGAACAATAAGATAAAAATGTAAGAAGATTACAATTACCTGGATTTTAGACCCCGTGTCTGTATTTATTTTTGATAAGTCATCTTGTATCTTCTGCTGTTTTGTTTCACAACGTGTTATTCTAGCAAATACAGAGTTTTTTCTTTTGTAAAAAATGTAAAAAGTATAATTGGTTTTTCTCTTCAGAGCCCGCGATTTAAAAACTTCGGCTCGAGCCGTAATTCCTTAAACCCGAATTTAAGACCCAATCTTCGACCCAACTATGACGACAGCTTGTGTCACGTGATTGACAGCTGCGAGATCTTAGGCTTGACTTAAGGACTTAAGCCCAATGAAAATAAAACCGACCTTGGTTGGTTTTAGTGGAGAATAAGGCTCAACGTTGGGTCTTCTTCTCATCAAAACCCGGAATGCGCCAATTCCAACTATGAAAATCCTCCAAATACAAAATTAAACCGGTTTTATGAACTAAACTCTGTTGAAAATTAGATGCAACTTAAATCCGAAAGCCCGAGCCGTAAATAAGGCTCAACAACAGCTTAAACCCGAGTCGTATTTTCTTGAATTTTTTAAATCGCCGGCTCAGAACAGAAAGCTGTTTAGAATATGTCTATAGAATATGTCTATAACCATACGGAATACAAATACAGAGTTATTCCTATGTCTTCAGAGAAAATGGAAGGGACTATTAATGAAATTCTAGCTGAACTTAAGCCCCAAAAAACTCGTATCCCTTTGACTGACCAAGAAATTCTTTAAAATGAAGACTACTGTAAACAGTGTCCGCAGTCTTTTTCAAGGGACTTGTAGCGTAATTTCAAGCGATTTTACTGAAAAAATGGCCTTGCCCGATTCCCACCAGTACCCTTGAAAGCTGTGTTTGATCAAGTATGAATTATATATATTAATGTTTAAAATTTTGAAATAGAATTATTTTCAACTGTAGTGGTTTCCTAAAATAGGTGTCAATGGTGCCATTGTGAATCCGACACGAAGGATTTACCTTGTGTTAAATTCATCCTTGGTTTTCTTAATTGAATTCTCTAGGACGGTATTAAGTTCATCTTTACTCTGCTGGATTTTGGTTTCTAAATCTGAAAATAAAAATATCTCAAAATTCTATTTTGTAATTGAATATGTTTGAATTTTAGATCAAATAAAATTTTAAAGTATCAATTACCTTTACTATTAAAAGCTGGTTTGCTTTTGGAAGAAGCTTCTAATTTTGTATCAAAACCTACAATACATATATAAAATAGATGTTGTATGTTTGTAATAAAAATACAATTCTATTACCTTTTAATTCAGTTGATACATTTGAAATCTTCAAATTGAGTTCATCTGTGACTTTCTTCTGTTTGGTTTCAAACTCTCCAACTTTTTTACTCATAAAGTCCAAACAATCTGCAACTTTCTTTTCCAAACCGGTTTCACTCTCCGCCATTTTTTTTTCAAAACCGGTTTTACAATCCTCAACAGATTTCGTAGACTTTTTCTCAGCTTCATCTATTCTCTTATCACAGGCCTAAAAATGGTTGGTCTTTCTTTTCTAAAAGAAAACATGTTTTTATATCATACACTATGTTTTGAAAAAATATTTACTTTGATATCAGTTGCAGCCTTTCTTATATCAGCCTTCATAGAGCTAATATCACTGTCAGCCACGCCAGAACCTAAAAATATCAAATTTAATAATATGATATTAATATAAATTAGACTCTATGTTTCAAGCTGGCTTTTTGCTTTAATGGTGTTTAATTCCTTTAAAAATCATTCAGATGTAAACAAAAATGTTTGCGAAAATTTTAATTTTAAGATGGACAAAGAAAATTGGTGGCTTGACAGAAAAAGAATCTAAAGGCTAAAATTTGTTTGTACTAGACAAAATTAGCGTTTAGTGCCCTTTAAAGTTAAGGTACATATTTCTGGTACATAAGGTATTTTCTTAAGGTATATATTTCTGGTACATAAGGTACATATTTACTTTAGGTACATATTTCTGGTACATAAGGTACATATTACATAAAAAGAAAAATAACGTATTAACCATTAATAAGTCAAAAAAAACAACACTATATATAGACACATTACATTAGACTAATTAGACAAAGTAAGAGCTAACATGAATTAGTGAATACATAAACATATAAAATATTCAAAAGGAGTCGGAAAGTAAAAAAAACATAAACAAATACTCAGCATAGCCTTCATGTTTATTATATTATATATATGGTTTCTCTTTTTCTGAATGGTGACGTAGGGTTTCCAACGAAATTTTCGCGAAATTCGTTCATTTTTGTTCAAAGATTTTGCGAATTTTGATGTACTTTCGACGAAATTTTCGACCTCATTTTCGTTCGATAAAAAATCTATTTGTTTTTTCGTCAAGAAGATTTTTGGATTTCAAACTGTAAATGTGTCGCACATTTTTAAGTTATTTAATAGATAAGGTAAACTAGCAAATAATCAATAATTTCTTAATATATTATTATAAAAATAGTATGTATGAAAATTGATAAAATAAATTGTCTATCAATGATTTTACATTTTCAGTGTTTAGTGTTGTATCTGAAGTTTCGCACTACTGTTGATACTTTATTTAACCCAATCACATTCACGGCTAGGGGGTAGTTTTCCACCCCCTCCCTTGTTGTTTTTTTCTAAATAACTTACTAACGCATAGCATTTGAATGCTGATACTTTTTCACAAAAGAGATTGAACGAAAATTTGGAAACCCTAGTGGTGAGTTAAAAACATTAGAAGTACAAATTGTTATGTGTTATGTTTTCATTTTATTTCCAAATTTAACAACAACTTCTTATTAAATTATTTTAGAAAAATTATTTTTAAAACGAATACTTAACACACAAACTTTAGTTTTTTTTATTACTTTTTTAATCATTTAATAAATCATTCAAAACTCACAGTTTAAATAATTAGATCTGATGCATCAGATTTTAAAAGTTTATGTCAATTAATCAGTTACTTTTAAATTTTGATAAATGCGCCAAATTTACCTTGAGAATTTAATACCTCGACCATGTTATGAAGAGTGTTCATATCTTTCTCAAGTCCTTTCACAGTTTTACTAAAAAACAGGTTATTCATACTCAATTGTTCTAATCCCGATATCTCTGCAACCTGATGTCATAGGCCTTCGATATTTCTATGAAATATACTTAAGGCCGGTTGAATCGTCAAATTTTTAAATTTCAAAGGTTTGCACTATCAGGTTGTTCAGATGTAGGGATTAGAAAATAAAAAATTGTAATCGAAAATTTGTCGATGATTAAAAATATGCTTGTTATTCAATGTTGTAACAATTGTTTGATAACTATAATATATATATATATTTCCAAGTAATTGATTGAGATAATTTGTATTTAAGATAAGTTTAATCATATAATTGATTAGTTGCATGTGTGCTTGATCCCAAATTACTTCTCTAATTACAGAAATGTATATATCAATATCAGATAATTGAAGTATTTAAAGGACAAAGGTTAACAATTATCATCCAACCCCTTCCCCCCTCCATTAAATAAAAACATTAAATTTATACAACATCTATATTACACTTTTATGATTTTTTTTCTAATTTACCATTAGCTTGAGAACCCAGCATTGCCCGGGGTACTTTATAGTTATTTTCGCCGTTTACCCGCGCTTGATCGCAAGTTAAGATTTTAGCTATTATCCCCTATAGAATTAGGGCCACTTCACTCTAAGCTAAGAAGTCTCCCAATCAAAATTTGAGACAAATTGGTCCAGGAGTTCCTGAGTTATGAACGAATATAGAAACAAACAAACAGAGATTACTACTTTATATATATAGATTTAGCTATATAAAGATAAAGGATAAAGATAAAGGATTTAAAGATTTAAATATTTTCAATTTTAGTATATCTAAAAACATTGTGACTCGGGAATGTCCTTTATTCAATAGAGTCACACTTGCAAGTACAAGAACCTTCTCTAAATGTATATGTTTATACCAACCATAATATTTTACCTAAATCCTGCCAGTTCAGATTTTACATTGGCTGAATCCTTCTTCATAGTGGAGTCAATATACTTGATCTCGGTAGAAACCCCTTTCATTTCCTTTCCAACCTTCTCAATATCAGACCTTAATATTAAACATATTATGCATAAAAAGGAGGGGGGGGGGACAATTTAGGAGGCACCCCCATGTAAATGAAAACTATGGTTGAGCCCCCCCCCCCCTCCCTGTTCAAACTCCTGTATATATAAGCATCTGTATGTTTTAACGTCATAAATTGTAAAAATCACAAAACTAAAGGGTGTCTCCATCTGTCTCCATAAACATGAAAATATATTAAGAATGACAAGTAAGATATAAAAATAAATTATTTGAGGTTCCAAAAATCTTTGTTTTCTCATTATTGACGGAAATAGTTAGTGTTGACAATTTCGTTTTTCTTTTTCACATTAAATTTTGAGAATTTCCAAAATGTGGTCTGCAATGTTTGTATCTTCAAGATTGATGGAATGAAATTTAAAGCACGCCACAAATCCAAATTTTCTAATCCCTAAGTCTAATGAACCTGGTTTTGAATACCTTTGATATTTCAAATTATATGTGAGTGATACAGTTTTTGTTTAACAACTGTTAAGTTGAAAAAGTGAACTTAAGTTTGAGTGTTCTCTAGAGTAAGCTGTTTTTACAGAAGAGGGTGGGAACCTTCCCTCTCCCTACATTGCACCTTCAACCAAAATAAAAGTTATCCTGTTTACAGAAGAGGGTGGGAACCTTCCCTCTCCCTACATTGCACCTTCAACCAAAATAAAAGTTATCCTGTTTACTTCGCACAGAAAATTGAGTCATTTAGAAAAGCATTTAAATAAGTTTTTTCGAACGAAAAAATTATTTCTGAAACCTATTCCAACTTTTTATTTTTGTAAATATTCCCTTAGACAAACAAAGAAAATGACGTTTAACCACCGAAATGATATATATGAATAAATTGATTCTGAGAAATCTATTTTACCTAATGGAGATAATATCTTTCTGAAGTAGACTGACATCAGAGCTTGAAGAATTCTTTTTTAGAATTGATATTTCGGATTCCATACTTTTCAAATTATCTATCGTCATCCTTAAACAAGATCCGGTATAAATAACATTCATAAAACGTTGATCTATTATTTTTTTTAATTATTAAAGATTCTATATTATCCATTTCATATAGCAGTGTTATAATGATAATCTTTTAAGTAGCCATGTGGTATAAATTTCAATGAGTTCCGGATTTTCGTGAAGAATTAAATTATATTTTTTCAAATTAAATTATTTAATTATAATTTAATTATATTTGTAACATAAATTCTGATATTTACATATCACCATTTCCTAAAGTTTAAAACATTTTTTATGGCATGGAAACCTCTGATATTTCAAACTTGATTCCTTGCAATTGACCAAATTGTAATGTAAAAGAACAAAGGGTTTTAATTTACACCATTAGGTTGCAAAGGTATGGGGATTAGAAAATTAGAATTTGATGGGAGGTAAATAGTTCTATTGAATAATTTTATGCACAATACAAGTTTGAGAAAAATAACCTTAATGAATTGATTTCTGATTTTGAAGATTTGCTCTCTTCACTCAGCAGGTCTTGTTTTCCACCTTTCATTGATAAATCAAGATTAAAATTTTAAAAATGTCTTAATTTTGCAGCCTCTTGTTTTTAGTTGAAATGTCTTTCTTTGCAGAAATAGAAATATTTAATATTTGCATCTTCAAAAAGTTAATATCTATATTTCTTGTTATTGACAAAAATTGCCACTGTACCCCAAACTAGAAAGGATGCATGCCTGAACTAGAAAGGACACATGCCTAAACTAAAAGGGATGCTGCATGCCCAATGCACGACGGCTCTCTGTACACAGTTATCTGAGTAACAATGATGAAGATTTTTGGTTTCTACACATTTTGTTTCTCTGCCCCAAAAGTTCCAAATATCAACTTTACAGAATAAAACCAATTTTCTGAAAGAAAAACAAGAATATTCTTGACAGTTTAGCTCAGGTAAAGTCGATTATTAGGGTACCACTGTGAATGGTGAGTCCATTTAAATTGTGTTGACTGAGATTATTTAGATTATTCTATATAGTGACAGTTATAGTTGTTTGAACATGAGTAGAGATGGCGCCGTCGTTTTTTGTGAACTAACAAAATTTCGTGAACAATGATTCTGTTCAGAGAAAACAAACCATGGACGAACAACAATTGCTTTTTTTCACCAAACGAACGATTTTATTGAAAGAACGAGAGAGAAAACGAACGAAACAGATACAAAATGGACGATCATTTTGAGAACGAACTACATATTCTATAACGTTTAAAAAAAAAGAACAAATGGGTTGTTCACGAATGAGGGAAGAAATAAAAAAGGCGAAACATGATCATAAAGGTAAGTATATAAATCACATATTTTATTTTGCTCTTTTTCTTTTGTTATTTATTTGAAGAATCTGATAAAAAGAATATTTATGTTTATCCTTAATAACGGGCTCTCGTATGAAATATTGTTTTTATTTGTTTTCTTCCAAACCATATATTGACATTTTCCCTTGAGGAAGGGGGACAATACTATATAATATATTAGTTGGGATATTGGTTTATACACTGCTAAAAACACAACTTCTGTCCAGGGGCGGACACAGGGGGGGGCAGGAGGACCTTCGCACCCAACTGACAGATTCAGGGGTGAATTTTCAGAATAGCTTCTCAATAGCAATAAAGGGAAAGAAAACCTAGCGGAAAACAGGAAAGTCAGCAAACAATTAGCCTTCGGCGCGTTTTTTGGTTCCTAAACCTGGATATTTTTTGTTTCGAAATAAATCTAGCCACCCACCTCACTTAAATTCTGTATCCGTCGCCCCTGCTTCTGTCTCAAGCAATATATTATACAAAAAGGTGTCTAAGGATGACCACTTTGAGAAGAAAAAAAAATGCGATGTTATCTGAAATCGTTGAATATAATCGCCAGCTGCTAAAATTTCAAAAGCCCAGCATAGATTTTTTTTCTTGATTGATTGATGAAAACTGTAAAATTTTCTTTGCATACAGACTTTTCTTATAACTATATATCATCAAGTGAATATAAAATATGAGCTTTAGAATCTTGGGGGTAATTAACTCGCCAACCCTCCCTAAAATCTGACGGGAACCCCTATAATCTTGGGGATCACCCCCTAGAACCTTAATTGGGAGACCCCCCTCTCCCGGAATCTTAGGGTTTATTACCCCCCCCCCCCCACCCTTGAATCTTGGGTAAATAAATATCCCAGTTTAGAAACTTTACTTAATCAACTTGAACAAAGCGTCCTGCATCGATTTTTTCATGCAGTACCGTTCTTGCACTTAAAGTCAAATTAGGTATAAAGCCCCTCCCGCGGGGGGAGGGGGCAAAAATAAAAAGTTTGAAGATCAAGATTATAAAAAAATAAATTAAAAATTAAGAAAGTTTTTCTCCTCTTCATTCATAAATGAGGTCAAAATATTTGTTTTATATATAATTTTTTCCTTTTTGATGATGTTTAAGAGTGGCACAAGGAGCTCAAACTTTTAATTTAGCCGTTTTTCCTCGAAATTTGACAAATGTTAACACCTTTGTGCTTTGCTACCATTAAACATTTATAAATTCAAATTTTTTTCTTTTTATAATCTCAAAATAAGCAAAATAAAAATATAAGAAGGCACTCTATTTTAGATTATAACTCTAAATGGCAAATTTTTTATGATATTCTAAAAGAAATCATGTAAAAATAAGCGAAAATTTGCGGATTTTCTCAAATTTATATTTCTCAGAATTAAAATATAGAATGTTAGAATAATGAATGCAATGTAATCCTTTTTTCAGGGAGAAATTTTCTAATCCCTAAGTCTAATGAACCTGGTAATATAATTTCCCCAGATATAGTACATATATAATTTCCCCAGATATAGTACACATATAATTTCCCCAGATATAGTACATATTAATTTCCCCAGATATAGTACATATATATCCATCCTACATGTGCAGATTCTAACTTATTATGTATTATGTACTTATTTGTATGTGCACGCAGGTTGTTTTTTTAATAACTTGTGTATGGTATTTGCATGGTTTACATTGTGCAGTTGTGCTTTAGTGAATAATATTGTGATCTTATACCAGGGGGCAGCTATAGTCTTATACCTGATGGATGGTATGAACCTTGTACTATAATATGTAAATGGTTCCTGTTGGAACACCAAATAATATGTAACATTTTCCAAAGGATAGATGACAATTGTGGAGCATACCTTGCTGATCATACTTTCAAATTGGCTTATTATTTATACAGAGAAATTGTTAGCATGTTGTTTTTATCATTTCTTAATCTTAATTTTAGTAATTTAATCTTAAATAAACTGGGGAAATATGAAATGACTAGTAAATATGGTAGTCTTGATAGATATATAAACAGGAGACTTGTAAACATGGTAGACTTGACAGATATATAAACAGGAGACTAGTAAATATATAGTACATATATAATTTCCCCAGATATAGTACATATATAATTTCCCCAGATATAGTACATATATAATTTCCCCAGATATAGTACATATATAATTTTCCCAGATTTAGTACATATATAATGTACATATATGTACACGCATAGTTCAGTTAAATAACTTGTGTATGGTATTTGCATGGTTTACACTGTGCAGTGGCACTTTAATGAATAATATTTTGCGCTTTAATTAATAATATTTGGATAATACACGCAGGCGACAGCTTTAGTCCCATACTTATAGTGGATAGTATGAACATACTCTTTTACTTGGAAGTTACCTCTAGGATATACAGATAAAATTGACGAACAGTTTACGGGACACACGATGGTACGAGCTTACAGATGATGTTGAAATTGGCCTACTGGCTTTAAAAAGAAATTATGAGCATACTGTTTTTCATCATTTTTTAATAGACCAATTTTAGTAATTTAATCTTAAATAAAGTGGGAAAATATGAAATGATCCATCAACATGTACCCTTGTATGAGCACACAAACACAGCGAATTTATGAGATTCATGACTTCACTGCATAGTGACTCCTAGCGGTGTCTTTTCTAACTAAGTTGCTTTAGTGCACCCGATTAAAAAATGTATTAAATTAAGGCTCCTCTGTCCTGTATTTCAGATAATCGAGTCAAATTTTAACTAAAAAGTGCAAGGGATGCCCCCCCGTTATACATGAATATGATAAGAAATGCAATTAAAGGGTTTAAAGTTTAGACGACGTACTGAAACAACTCCCATAAGGAGGGGGGGTCGTCGATGAAACATTCTACTCTGTAATATCGTTTTAACCTTCATAGTTGGACTATTATTTTAAAAATATTCTCAGTCTCTGTTAAAACGGCATTTTAGAGCAATACGACGACCCCCCTCCGCCTCCCCACATTATGAGAGTTTTACCCTCTCTTAGGAATACTTTTTCACATAATATACAAGTAATATTTTTGGACATTTTTTCACCGAGTCCCGCCAATTGTGTATGAATGGTTTGTGACAAAAGAAGTTTTTTTACAGTGTCATGTATAAACAAAAATATGCTTTTATTATTATGTGCATATTTTCAATATAGCGTTATTTTTATTTGTAAATAAAGATTCATAATTGCATGTTCAAAAAGAATATTACCAATGACCGTACTTATTAAAAACAATCAAATAGAAAATTATCTCATGTAAAATAACCACCAAAGAAAATAAAAAACAAAAAACGCCTGTTATAGAAATAACAACCATACGGAAAAAACGAAAAGAAAATAACTAAACAGAATTGCCATAGAAAAATGACAAAATAGAAAATGATCAAAAAAATTACCCTAGAGAAAATTACTATTGAGAAAATGGCCTAAAAAAACTATAAAGAAAATGTAAAAAAGACCATAGAGCAAATAGCCATAGAAATGGCCATATTAAAAATGACATTTAAGAAAAAGACCGCAGCGAAGGTTAAACCTCGAAATAATTGACCATGAATAATATTACCTAAAAAAATGATATCGACAATTAACCCCATAGCTAGAGAAAATAAAATTTCTTCGTTGAAATAAGAAGAAAAAATTATCTAAAAATATTTTTTTTTTAAATTGTTTGAATTGTAAAACTTGATTTTTCCTAAGGATTTAGCGTCTTTCTGTAGAGTTTTTACGTCATTGAGAAGAGTTTTCAACAACCCACTTGTCTCATCTAACAAGCAAAATAAGTTTAATATTAATCATTCTGTATCTTATTTCACAAGTACTTTAAGTGATTTTTCTTCTGTTTACAATAAGAGTAATGTTTCATCCAGTAATGCGTTTTTATTTCTAATTTAATGAAAAAATTGTTTTAGAAGCAAATATATATTTGTAATACTAAAATTTCTTTAATCAGGCTTTTTTAGGTATTCTGTAGGTATTTCCTTTTTGTATTAGTTCAGAATTAAGGAGACATAAGAAGGTTTTTCTCTAAAATAATTTTTCATTTTTTGGTTTCCTTTCTTTTTGTTTTTAGCTTTAAAGTATCTAGATCTGGTATCATAAATATCTGCCATATTTCAAAAAAAAAAAAATTTAAATTAAAAATTGAGAATTTTTTTTTAGCCTATGTCACCCTAACGCTAACCATTATTGTTCACAAACAATTTCAGAAGGGTAGGGGAGATGGGGGGGCTGTTGAAAATTACGAACATTTTGTTTAAAATTTCGAATATTGTGTTCAAAATTACGACATTTTGTTCAAAATTATAATTACTTTGTTAAAATAACAAACATTTTACTCCAAATAACGAACATTTGGTTTAAAATTAAGAACTTTTTGCTCCAAACTACCAAGAAATATATAGACCAGGAACCGCCATGATGCGTCAAATCTGTGTACTGCAGTGGGAGGAGATCAAAACAAAGAATTCAGGGGCAACGCATCATTTTTGAGGGAAAAGGGCCCAAGGGGTGGAATAAGAATATATTGCTATTTTATTTTCCATATTGACCACAAAGCCAAAAATAATATGTATTCTTTCTAACTTGATATATTAACTTGTTTTTTGTTGGACTGTAATATCACATCAGAGCTTTAGTCCTTTCCCTTCAACTTCCGCGGGGACACTGGGTTTGTTTACATTCCACCCACAGTGTACAATTTACAATTTCCGTATATCTGAGTTGGGCGTTCTCGTATATAGTTCCTAAGCTTAATAACTACCAGTATTTTCTTCAAAATTACGAACGGAATATTAGAAACATACAATTTTGTGAGATAATATCCCTTTTATACATACCTTGTGCTGTTTTGAGGATGGCATCATTCTCTTTTCTGCTTTTTAGATCTTGCTTTATAGACGACAAACCTTGGTTCAGAGAAATGTTTCTTGGCAATAATAGTGTACAGTGGCCCCCCCCCAGAATAAAGTGAAACGAAACAATGAGTGAGATATCGTAATTTTTCTATCTTAAAACGTGTAAAATTCTGTCAATTTTATTCTTATACTTTGCCGCATAAATTTGCAAAAAAATTTTATTGTGAAACCGCAATTAAAAATTAAAAATCAAGGACCTTTGATTATTATTTCAAGAACAAGTGTATCAGTGGTTATTTATTTTTTTGAAAAAAGATAAAGGAATTGAGTCTTTGCCACAAACTCTGATGTTCTAATCCCAATATCTTTGAAACTGCAATTCTTGGATATTTCAAACTAAGAATTCTGTTAGATCGAAGTTTGAAATATCAAAGGTTTAATCCATCAGGTTGCAGAGATATTTGGATTAGAAAATTTGAGCTTGGAGTAAAGACTCAAGTCCTTTACGACAAATATTTAGATTTTGCATAGTAAATAGATAAAATAAAATGTACTTCCAAATCTATATAATAAAACAAGACATTCGTATATCAAACGGCTGGACCGATCGGGCTGACATTTTTTGTGAACAGTCATAGTTGGCCGGGGGGTGTCATAGGATAAAAAAAATAGATTTGTTTTTAAAAATATTTTTTTCCAATTTTTTTTTCACGGGCTACGCCGGGCATTTCAGCTAATTTGTCAATAAAAGCGTAAATTAAAACGTTTAAATTAAATGGATTTAAAATATTACGTTATAAAATCAATTTTTCACATTTCTTTCCTTCTTCAATTTTGCCGTCAATAGTTTTAATTTTGTTGTTTATTTTTTCCTCTTCTCCTTTACTCTTTCTTAGATCATTCTTTAAACTCTCATCCACCTCATCTATCCGAGATACTGAAATATTAGATATATCTCATCTACTTTATCTTTCCGAGATACTGAAATATTAAATATATCACATCTACTTCATCTATTCGAGATACTGAAATATTAAATATATCTCATCTGCTTCATCTATCCGAGATACTGAAATATTAACTATATCTCATCTACTTCATCTATCCGAGATACTGAAATATAAATATATATCTCATCCACCTCGTCTATCCGAGATACTGAAATATAAACATATCTCATCTACTTCATCTATCCGAGATACTGAAATATTAAATATATCTCATCTACTTTATCTATCCGAGATGCTGAAATATAAATATATCTCATCCACCTCGTCTATCTGAGATACTGAAATATAAATATATCTCATCTACTTTATCTATCCGAGATACTGAAATATTAAGTATATTTCATCTACTTTATCTATCCGAGATGCTGAAATATAAATATATCTCATCCCCCTCGTCTATCTGAGATACTGAAATATAAATATATCTCATCTACTTCATCTATTCTAGATACTAAAATATTAACTATATCTCATCTACTTCATCTATCCGAGATACTGAAATATTAAATATTTCTCATCTACTTCATCTATCCGAGATACTGAAATATTAAATATATCTCATCTACTTCATCTATCCGAGATGCTGAAATATTAAATATATCTCATCCGCAAAAGTGGATGGGGTGGACCCCCCCCTCCCCCGTCAATATTAGAGCAAAATAACCTAATCAGAATAGGGTTAACATTATGTCTACAATAAGATTCAATAATTTCTTACCTAGGTCATTATACAGCTTGTTGGTCAGCTCACTCTGTTTGTTTTCATCTGGCGGTGGGAGGCGCTCAGATTTCAACTGTAACATGGGGAAAATAGGTTAGGGGGGAAATAGTTTGTGTAAACCTTTGAATGTAATGTATTTGAACTACTTGGAACTAGCTCTATTGGTGTAAACATTTGAATGTGATGTATTTGGCCTTCTTGGAACTAGCTCTATTGGTGTAAACATTTGAATGTGACGTATTTGGCCTTCTTGGAACTAGCTCTATTGGTGTAAACATTTGAATGTGATGTATTTGGCCTTCTTGGAACTAGCTCTATCTGAAAGATTGCGAATAAAGAATGGAACTTTCCGGGGGAGGGTTGGAAGGCCAGGTTTGTTTACTAACTGTTGGTTATTTAAACCAGTCAGATCAGCTGATAAGTTTTAATACGTCAAAGTAAAATGTGTACAAACCCTATCCGCCTCCCCTCAAGCTATACCGTAGGTGTCAGGTATTGCCCAAAGGCGTTTTCCCAAGGGGGGACTTCTTAACAAACAATTTCCAAGGTAGCACCTTCCAATAGGTTAGGTTAGGCCTTCTGAGTCGCACGCTGCAGGCTGCAATAGGGGCCTAGCACTGCGGCTAGCATGGGTGGGGGGGGTGAGCGCTGCAGCTAGGACAGCCTTGGGACAACCGCTTGGGAAATTGCACATTTGGGATGTTACCACTTATCTTGGGAAGTTGCCGCTTGTGAAAATAGGGTTAACCATGGTTGATTATAGTCCATGCAAAATGTATCTTATTAATTACTCATTTAATAAACTATTTTAAATTAAAGCATTGAAAAAATGCGAAATAGACCTGTAACCGAAATTTAAGATAATTTTGTTTCGTAACTAACATTATAAAAATACCACATAAAACGATTTTCGTTTACATAAAAAAACATCACCTTTAATTTATCAATTGCTTGTTTGCAGGCAGATGTTTCACTGGCACAGTCGACTAGCTTGCTGGTCAGCTCGTCAATTCGTTTATTACTTTTTACACTGTAAGCACCATTTGGTTTTATTTAATGCTTTAATTTTTTTATTTAAATACATTCTTAAAGGAACTGTAAAGTGCAATTTCAAGCGATCCTCCATGCATCTACAGCCTAACCTTTACAGCTTGACTGCTCAAGTATGCATCTAGATGTCAATACCTAATTCACAACGATACCCTTAACAGCTTGACTGCTCAAGTATGCATCTAGATGTCAATACCTAATTCACAACGATACCCTTAACAGCTTGACTGCTCAAGTATGCATCTAGATGTCAATACCTAATTCACAACGATACCCTTAACAGCTTGACTGCTCAAGTATGCATCTAGATGTCAATACCTAATTCACAACGATACCCTTAACAGCTTGACTGCTCAAGTATGCATCTAGATGTCAATACCTAATTCACAACGATACCCTTAACAGCTTGACTGCTCAAGTATGCATCTAGATGTCAATACCTAATTCACAACGATACCCTTAACAGCTTGACTGCTCGAGTATCAATTAGACAACAATGTTATCATTTGTTTGAAAACTGTGGTTAAAAAAAAAATAGAAATTATCAGAATTAAAGACTTTTAAACCAAGACGATGTCTTCCACACTGTTGAGCCGATCAAGGTGTCTAGGGTACTGTTGTGAGTTGAGCATTGTCATATTTGCATGGCCAGAGGATCAGCTAGAATCACGAAAGTAAAACACATTTGCCAAAATCTGTAAGTGGATTAATGAAAATCCACAGAGAATATTTGTAAAATCAAATTTTTTTTTCGCATTATCAATGTTTAGAATAGGGGCTTTTAGCATAACAATTTAAATATTTCTTGCAAAATATTGTCAACAAAAAGCTTTTTAAACAAAAAAAAAACAATATGGTGGTACCTTGATGTTTCTAATCCTGTATTGGATGCTTTCACGCTGTCCAATCCAGTTTTAAAACTCTTTAAAAATTCAGACGATAATGTACATTTAACTCTGCACAGTGAGCTAAACTTTTTAATCTTAAAAAGTTTAGATCAACAAAACCCTGTTTCGTAAACCGAATAATTAGAGTAAGTCTATTTATTTTTGTAGGTTTTAAGCTGTAAATTTAAGATGATTAGAGAAATGTAACTGCAATATTTCTTACTTATGTAATATCTTTTACCCTGTTCATGAAATCGGGTTTTTTTTAGACCAGTTTTTACGCTTATGTCTTAAGAAGCAGACTCTATGGAAACGGACTATTTTTAAAATTGGATTTTCAATTTGAATTAGGGTGCAGACTGCAATGAAAAGTATTACAATTCTCAAGAAAAAAGAACTTTTTTTAGAAATTCAGAAATTCTATAATTTTATTTTTCCCGAGTGGCTAGTTTTTATTAACTCGATTTTATTAGTCCACACTGTGCCTAATGCATTTATACAATTTTCCATGTTAAGGGGTATACATATCTATAGCTAAAAATAAAATCGAAGATAGAAGTATTAATATTAGTAGTAAAAAGACAAGATTGAGTGGAATAACGAAGCATATGGTTGTACACAAAATTATATTTACATTGCGGTTAAGATTGATTTTTGGTCTAGTTCTTTTTCTTTACCATGGAATTCGACAAGGTTTGTACTTGTACTTGAACTTAATTACGATTTCAATGCACAGTTGTTACCACTAGAGATATAGAAATGTTGAAACATTTCAGAGTAGTGTAGACTCCCCCACCCCACCCCCATATATTCAAGGGTTAAATACACAGGTTTGCCGCTTTTGAAACTGTAAATGGCGGTACAGTGCAAACTAGGACCGCAAAGGTGGCCCAGCTCGGATATCAAAATGTACAAGCTGGTCGTTTGTGGGAAGTAAAAGTATATATATCTGTTTATCTGATTCTGATATTGTTATTATTTATCTAGCTATCTAAATACTTGAGTACATTAGTCTCAATATGAATAAATAAAAGATTCATTAGGAAGTTTATTTAGTTCTTGCTTTCAAAAGCAGGGTGTCCAATTTAACCTGACAGTAGAGTAACTATTTAAAGGCACCGCAGGCTGCAGCGAGGACAGACTTGAAAATTTCACATTTGGGAAATTGCCACTTGGAAAATGCCTTTGGGAAAATACATAACATCTTCAACACAGAGACACTCTATAATCACGAAATATTCATGATTATGCAGAGACGAAGGAAGATTATCTTAAATGTATAAAAGTAAAGGATATAATAATAACAAAATGTTATTTCTTGTGCATACAACATTTAATATTCTTGCTTCATCTTTTCATAGATGATTTTCAATTAATAATTGTTCATACAGTGATTTGAAAACGATAGTTTTTTTAAAAAAAGAATCATTCGGTTTTTTTTAATAAAAAAAACGCACATAGATTCAGGCTTCTTTACAAAGTTATATCAATTTTAAAGACTGGGTCTGCTTTTAAGAAACACAATGGATTGACCTTTAATTTTATCTCACTTACGTTTTGTAGCCATAGATAGGTAAATTTTAGAATTTTAGTTTTAGTTATTATTTTTACGCTAGAGCTATAGCAACGTGGATCACTGTGAACGATTGTTTTTAAAAGTATAATTTTGATCAATTTTTGAAAGGGACTGTCAGCGCGATTTCAAGTGACCTTCCATGCAAAGATGGCTATGCCCGATTTACAATGGTACCCTCAAAAGTTTGTCTGATCAAGTTTGAATGAGATATTAATGTTTACAATTTTGGAAACGGATTTTTTTCAATTATGGTTTCTCTACAAAAGGGTACTTTCCCAAAGGCCTTTTCCCAAGGGCAACTTCCCAACTGACAATTTTACAATTGGAAACTTCCCAAATGTTAGGTTATATCCTCTGAGTCGCCGCCAACTGCAATAGGGGCCAAGCGCTTCGGCTATAATGGGCTAGGGGACCGATCGCCGCGGCTAGAACAGGCTGGAATCCAAGCTGTGTTGTGACAGACTTGGGAAGTTGCTGCTTGGGAACTTGCACATTTGAAAAGTTGCCACTGGGAAAATACCCATGGGAAGTAGCCACGGGAAAAATCCTTTGGAAAAGTACCTAACATCTACCAAAGTGAATTGCATATCTATTGCAGGAAAGCATTTAGGAATCAAACACGTGTAAGCCCAGAAATACATCAATATATTATTAACATCATTGACCAGAAAAAGAAGTTTAGCAGGGAAGTTCAATAAAAAAAAATTATAGTGCCTCCATTCCCCCTGAAATAAAATATTTAAAAATATCAAGGATTTAAACAGTTGATAAAAAAAAAGGTTTGAAAAGAATATTATTATTAGTCTGAATTCCTTAGTCGTCTCTTCTAACTTCTGCACTTGCGTTTCAATGTTTCTAAAAAAGATTATATTTTGTTACATTTTTTCCGGCCCACTTTCCCATCTTGAACAACATACCATGTTTCAGAATTCCTAGCTAGTCACATATTGCTCAATAATATATACATTGGAGAAAAAAACTCAGCGGTAGCGGCTAAAAACGACCACTTAAAATCTAGACAATCGACTCTACGAAATAATTCAGAATTAGAAATGCTAATGTTTTACTTTCTCTATTTAAAAAATGTATTAAACCTCCGAAATCATATTCTTCAGGTGAATATTTTTGCCCTTAAGGGGACGGACCGGCTATACTCAGTTCAACTACCATGCATAGCCGGTCTGACCCTTCAACTGTTGAGTTGAACGTTTTTTAAAGTGTTTGTTATGCATATAAAAACAGTTATCGAAAAATGTGTAATTTTACGCTTGAAGGTTAAAAAATCATAATGAAAACTTGAACTTCCAGCGATTGAAGGCAAAAAAATGCATTAAAGAATATTTTCATTTTCGTTGGTTGGAGGCGTAAATTTTTTTTTTAAAATATGTTTCATTTCTTATTTTAAACTGCAAAAAGTCTAATCTATGTCTCAAGTTCTCAACCGCTCGTTAAACCACTATTTTTTTCACCAAAAAATACATTATTGCACATTGCTTGGCCCGCTATATGTTTAACCCCTCTACACTAAACCACATAAAAATTATACCTTTTAGGAAATAATGATTTTACTTTGAATTTTAAATTTTAAAAAAAGAGAATTGATCAGATTACTTAAAAATCCCCCCGCCTAGAAAGAATATAATTACAATTTTGAAATTTAAAAAGAACAATTGCCTTTTTTTCATATCAGAGAAATTTCTCAGAATTGGAAACTATTTCATTACAGATTATAAAAAACATTAGAAAGACGCGAAGAGTATTTAAATTTTAGAATAATACACAAAACAACAAAGAGTACTCTAATTTCTAATTTCTAATAAACAAAGAGTATATGCAATTCTAAAAAGAAAACAATAGAACGAAGAGTATTAAGATTGCTGGAGACCTCACAATAAACATAACATTACCAAATAAATAATTATTCACTTCAAATTATAATTTTCTAATCAAATTATCTTTGCATCCTAATAAAACTTTTAATATTTAATCTTGAATTCTGTTAATTCATGGAGAATAGCTTTCAATTATATATATAAAGCTTACACTATCAGGGTTTAAAGATAAAGGGATTAGAGAACTAGAGTTTGCGACGAGGAGTCAGTTTCCTGTTTACCTGAGATTAGTTTTAATATCCTGAATTGTACTCTCCATGTTAAGTCCTGATCCCTGCTTACTTGAGATTAGTTTAAATATCCTGAATTGTATTCTCCAGGTTAAGTCCTGATCCCTGTTTAGCTGAGACTAGTTTTTGAATTGTATTCTCCAGGTTAAGTCCTTATTCCTGTTTACCTGAGATTAGTTTGAATATCCTGAATTGTATTCTCCAGGTTAAGTCCTGATCCCTGTTTACCTGAGATTAGTTTGAATATCTTGAATTGTATTCTCCATTTTAAGTCCTGATCCCTGCTTACTTGAGATTAGTTTGAATATCCTGAATTGTATTCTCCATGTTAAGTCCTGATCCCTGTTTACCTAATATTAGTTTGAATATCTTGAATTATATTCTCCATGTTAAGTCCTGATCCCTGCTTACTTGAGATTAGTTTGAATATCCTGAATTGTATTCTCCATGTTAAGTCCTGATCCCTGTTTACCTGAAATTAGTTATAATATCCTGAATTGTATTCTCCAGGTTAAGTCCTGTTCCCTGTTTACCTGAGATTAGTTTGAATATCCTGAATTGTATTCTCCATGTTAAGTCCTGATCCTTGCTTAAGATCTAAAGATATCTTCTCAAACCTCTCCTCAGTCTTCACCAAACCAAATCAAAACAATTTTAAAGGGACTGTTACGTTTTAAAATATAAAAATGTATTTCTCAATGTGCAGGGTTCTCTGAAAAAGTTACTTGAAGATTTTTTTTGCGAAACAAGAAAAAATGTTTGAATTGAAAACTTGTCAAGGATTTTTGCTGGCAAAACAAGAAAAATGTTTGAATTGAACACTTTTCAATGATTTCTGCTAGCAAAACAAGAAAAATGCTTGAATTGAACACTTTTAAAGAATTTTTGTAAGCAAAACAAGAAAATGTTCGAATTAAACACTTTTCCAGGATTTCTGCTAGCAAAACAAGAAAATGTTTAAATTAAACACTTTTCTAGGTACTAACACAAGGATATTTTCCATATTATTGTTTAAATAAATGTTTATATTTCGGGCATGAACCTTCGATCAAATGAAAATTAAAATTAAAATCTTTAAAATCAAACTGTTCCTTAAACAACTAAATCAAAATGTTCCTTAAACAACTAAACCAAACTGTTCCTTAAACAACTAAACCAAACTATTCCTTAAACAACTAAACCAAAATGTTCCTTAAACAACTAAACCAAACTGTTCCATACATAACTAAATTAAACTGTTCATTAAACAACTAAACCAAACTGTTTCATACAAACCTAAACCAAACTGTTCCTTAAACAACTAAACAAAACTGTTCCATACAAAACTAAATCAAACTGTTCATTAAACAACTAAACCAAACTGTTCCATACCAAACTAAATCAAACTGTTCTAAACAAAACTAAACTAAACTGTTCCATACAAAACTAAACCAAACTGTTCCATAAAAGCTATATCAAACTATTCCATACAAATCTAAATCAAACTGTTCCATACAAAACTTAATCAAACTGTTCCATTAAAAAACTAAACCAAACTGTTCCATACAAAACTAAACCAAACTGTTCCATACAAAACTAAACCAAACTGTTTCTTCAAAACTAAACAAAACTTTTCCATACAAAACTAAACCAAACTGTTCCATACAAAACTAAACTAAACTGTTCCATACAAAACAAAACCAAACTGTTCCGTACAAAACTAAACCAAACTGTTCCATTTAAAACAGTTTCATTTTACAATTTGGTTTGGTTCCTTATATTTCTCCTCACGAGTAGAGAGGCTCAAATTCTTCACTGAATTAAATTTGATAAAAAAAAGATTGTTTACGGGTTTAGGAAGGGTTAAAAAAAAGAAATTGTGTCTCACACCTGTTTCTATCTTATCTCTTTAAGACGGAAATACACTACACTTCCCTTTGTTGCCAGAAAAGGAAGTAAAAATTCAGGAATTTAATTCAAATTCTTATTCGAATTATTTGATAAAGAATTCTGTAATTTTTTTTTATTAAAGCAGAAAATGTTCTTAGGATATTAATGTTGAATTTATTTGTGTTCAAAAATAAAGTGCTTTCTTGTTAAGAATCCCCAATAGTTAATCAAATTTTATTTTTTCTCTCCTTTTTTACACAACCTCAATTTATCATGAACAAATTATGTTAATTACCTTTTTCTGAAATCATATTCAAATCTGTCTCTAATTTCTTTTCTGAAACAGTTTTACAAGTTTTAAATTGAAAAATCATTCAATCTTGAAATTTAAATTTATAATTCAGTTTAATATTTAACAATGTTTATAGATAAGATATAACTTGGGGTACACCCAAACACGAAGTAAGTTTATGTATTGTATACATTCCTCTTGTTTGGGTGTCTGCTTGCTTGTTACCTATCTCCTTCGGCTTGACCAAATTGTCTTAAAGGAATTGAGTTTTTGCAACAAACATAAATTTTCTAATCCCTATATCTTTGAAACCTGATAGTGTAAACCTTTGATATTTCAAACTTAGACTATTTAATCTACTAGAATTAATAGTTTGAAATATCAAAGGTCTAAGAAAACGGGTTGCTAAGTTATAAGAATTAGAAAATCTGAGTTTGTGGCAAAAACTCAATTCCTATGTGTGCAAGAAACCCTATGTGATTGATCCATTCATTTCTTGATATTGTTTCTCAAAAGTTCACGAAATAGCTCATATTAGCGAAATATGTCGAAAAAACGAAATACACAAAAACCAATATTTTCTTTTCAGAATTTGCGCAAAATAGCTGTTGTGCATCTGTGCGAAATTATATCGAAATTTCGTGCATTTTTTACTCGAAACGTAGTTAAATTTTCCTGAAAAAAATTTTGATTGGAAACCCTACATGCGAAATTCTGTATATTTTTTACTTTATAACCTTTCCTAAACCTGTCAAGAATGATAAACTATTAAAACTGTTCAGAAATTACAGCGTTTTTAAAAATAATTCTACCCCTTAGATAATACATATTACACAGAGCTAGATGTGACATTCTGAAAAAAGTTTCACCTAGCTTTTTGCAGCATCTATAGGGTGGTAGATTCATTTTTTGAGTTGAAAAAAAGATACCAAATTGATTCGGAAAAAAATTGAAAACCCTATTTTGTACCTTTTCTAATCTGCTCCTCTTGGTTTCCCTGAGAATTGTTTTTCACTGCTGTAATGCTCTCCTCCAGTATCTAAACGAACAAAGCAAAAAATATTTTTAGATTGTCTTAAAGTTCTTTAAATGGAAATGCATAATGTATTTTTAAATATAATAATTCATAAATCATGATGCATATTCATTTTAAGTGCACCCTTAGATTTAGGGTCTGAATCTACGGGACGGGGGGGGGGGGGGGGGGGGGGGGGTGGAGAGGTATGGGCCTTGAGTAGAGATATGATGTTCATAGCCCAGTTGCTCAAGACCAGCGATGATTAAAAAAATCACACTGACAACTTGAATGGTTCGGGTGTTTACAGGGAAGTTTAAAAACGTTTTTTTTTAAAGTCGGAAAATGTAAACAATAACATTTTTTATTTTGACAAATAAAAACATATGACACATGTTTAAATATCTATTTTTCAAGGGATTTTTAAAAATGTTAACTTTAGCTTATATAACTTATCTATAGTATCTACCACTGTGATCAATAAGTTTCGCTAAAATTTGCTTAGCGGTACTTTTATAAGTCTCAGCTCTAAATTTTTTTTAAAGTTCAGTCATTTAATACTCTTCAATAGAGTAAGGACGAACTCCTGATGATGCCAAAGTTTTGGCGAAATATATTGAGAAGAAAATGATATAGTTCGAGTGCTAGAGAGTAGGGTTGGGATTTGTTTAAAAACGATCTAAAGTTAAAGTTCACTATATCAGTACCAGATACTGTTTAGGCCAGGTTTGCGTCAAGCAGATTGTTGTTGTGATGTCAGGAGTGTTCTCCTGGAGGTGGATTAGATCGTTGTCACAGCATAGGAATATCTGGAATATTTACCAGAGAAATGGGACACCCTGGAGACTGGGCTACCAACAAATGTTATATTTTTTTTTAGATCTTTTAGAAGTACATTTATTGCTTCTATAATATAAATACATATTAAATAAAGAGTGTATAAAAGGAGAGGAAGTTGAGAAGGTCTTCTCCGGTTCACCCAGATGCAATTCAAGAGTAAACAATTCTGTATAGAGCTTCGAGAAAGAAAGCAACATCCACATTATTTAGTTCAATTAAATACAGGGTTCCGAAATAAAGCAAGATTTTTTAAAAATAGTTTTTTCTTGTAAAGTGACGAACTACAAGGATCCAAAAAAAAATTATTTTCTTTTTATTTTCAAAATTAGCCGAATATGATTAAGAACACAATTTTATAAAATGTTTTGCCTCAAAATCTCAGGGGGGGGGGGCGTCGCCCCCCTAAATCCATCAGGGGGTACGAAGATTCCCCCACCCACCCCCTCCTTTGTGTCCGCCCTTGTCCAGGCAGGAAAAGACCATCAAAACCCCAGAAATGGTAGAAAATATTGAAAACCATAAAGCTGGGTTCAAGAAGTATGTTTGCCAGGCAACCTGATATATGATTTTACATTGGAAACATAGTTGTATAGCAAGATTTAAGATCTGTGTTAAATTGTCCCAAAGTCGACGACAAATGTACCAAAGGGATGACATTGATTATGGATCAAAACCATAAAAGTCCTCAAAAGTCCATTATACATTAATACTCAATCTCTTTTTCTTTTGATCGTTCTTAAAGGGTCTAAAACAGACTCTGGTGGACAAAATTTGAAAATGTTCTTGCGGTGACGAATACAGCTGATTACTGTCGGGAGAACGCTCCTAACAACAAAGATATGATTTACATCAACTGATCTGAAAAATAATCCTGTAAAACTATGGTGAACTTTCAAAAAGAAAATCACAGGGCTGAGTTTATAAATTACTCCTATTTTTTTAGCGAAACTTATTTATCACACCTCGTATAACCTTCTATACGCATAATTTGCAAAAAAAAACTTTTAATTACTATATCTTAGAATTAAAAAAATTTCAAGGTAATAGCAGGAAATTAACATTACGTTGAACCTCCCTTTAATCATCTTTTAAAAACTTTCATATATTATATATCATATATTATATATTATATATTAACCTGTGTTTGATTCTGTAATTTCTGTATGTCTCTTTTCAGGTCTTCATCGCTAAAAGTTAGAAAATTCAAACAGTTTTAATTTTCTCAAATTTTTAAAACATCGCAAAAATAATGTAATACAAAAAGAACTCTAATTGTGACAAATTTGTCCCTATTTTTTTCTAGTTATTTTTGGTTGTTAATTCTTTTTTTTCGGTTTTAGACTATGTTTACATTTTGTTAGACTCATACTTTTTCATAGTTTTTGATTTTGATATTATCTTAGTTTTGTTTGACTTGAGACAAAATTGAGATTTATTATTCTTTTATTTTCTAATATTTACCTTTCCATGTTTGTTTGTTGTTGAGATTTCCGCGTATTTTCATTCTCTTTTTCTTAGAAAAAAGAATTATAAGTTTGTAAAACTAGGGTTTTAGGCTGCTTCGCGCCCCTTCAATATATAATTTTGACGGATTTCCCTTTCCCTTACGTCAAGTGAGGTCCCATACACGATGTTGGCCCAATCATTTCAGCTTTTAGACGTTTATTGTATACAAACAGACAAACAAACAAACAAAGTATATATAGATTATTAAGAGGAACAAAGTACAAAAACTGAGATCAGAAAAGTTTAACGTGACTGTAAGGATAATTTCAAGTGACCCTCCATTTATAGAGTTGCATTTCCGAAAAAATCAAAACTGTAGCCTTTTAATATTTGTTTGATCAGGGATGAATGGAAAATCTGTTTTTTCTTACATATTTTCAATTGTAGGCTCTTAATAAATGTGAATTGAGGATTTAAGCAACAGAAACAATGAAGATACTTGTTAGAATTTAACCCCTTCTAAGATATAGAAACACAACATTGTCGCTCTTTTAAAAAGAATCGAACGTACGGTTCCTTTAATTGTACATACAGTCCCTTTAATAGTACATACAGTCCCTTTATGTAACATACAGTTCCTTTAAGTGTACATACAGTCCCTTTAATTGTATATTCAATCCTTTCAACAGTACATACAGTCCCTTTAATTGTACATACAGTCCCTTTAAATTGTACACACAGTTCCTTTGATTGTACATACAGTTCTTTAATTGTACAAACAGTCCCATTAATTGTAAATACAGTCCCTTTAATTGTACATACAGTCCCCTTAATTGTACATACAGTCCCTTTAATTGTACATACAGTCCCTTTTATTGTACATACAGTTCTTTAATTGTAAATACAGTCCCATTAATTGTACATACAGTCCCTTTAATTGTACATATAGTCCCTTTAATTGTGCATACAGTCCCTTTAATTGTACAAACAGTCCCTTTAATTGTGCATACATTCCCATTAATTGTACATACAGTCCCTTTAATTGTACATACAGTCCCTTTAATTGTACATACAGTCTCTTTAATTGTACATACAGTCCTTTTAATTATACAATCTCTTTAATTATACATACAGTCCCTTTAATTGTACATACAGTCCCTTTAATTGTACGTACAGTCTCTTCACTTGTACATACAGTCTCTTTAATTGTACATACAGTCCCTTTAATTGTACATACAGTCTCTTTAATTGTACATACAGTCTCTTTAATTGTACATACAGTCCCTTTAATTGTACATACAGTCTCTTTATTTTTACATACAGTCTCTTTAATTTTACATACAGTCCCTTTAATTGTACATACAGTCCCAATAATTGTACATACAGTCCCTTTAATTGTACATATAGTTCCTTTAATTGTACATACAGTCTCTTTAATTGTACATATAGTCCCATTAATTGTACATACAGTACCTTTAATTGTACATACAGTCCCATTAATTTTACATACAGCCTCTTTAATTGTACATACAGTCTCTTTAACTGTACATACACTCTCTTTAATTGTACATACAGTTCCTTTAATTGTTTATACAGTCTTTTTAATTGTACATACAGTCTCTTTAATTGTACATACAGTTCCTTTAATTGTTCATATAGTCTCTTTAATTGTACATATAGTCTCTTTTATTGTACATATAGTCCTTTAAATGTACATACAGTCCCTTTAATTGTACATATAGTCCCTTTAATTGTACATACAGTCCCTTTAATTGTACATAAGTCCTTTTTTTGTTAACAAGTTAGTATATAAGGAAGGAAGAAAGTTAAAAAGTTAAAAAGTTTGAAAGTTAATAAAAAGACAAGTCTCCATTGAATTATCTAATTCTTCTTAACCTAGTTTATTTAACCGTTTGCTTAATTCCTCCTGGGAGTTCTGGGCCCTAGTCAAGCATATCTTTAGTTCATCAAGAGAGTTCAGGGCTCGTGATGCCGCGGTATTTCCTTGTGATGCTAAAGTGTGATTTTTAGCTGCAAACAATTCACATTCTTCTAGCTTACCTAAGAAATTAAATAAGCTTAATTTTAAAAAAAAGAACTTCAAAAGTGTATTTAACTTTTCCGAGTATTATGTATTCGATGTATTCTGACTGCAAAAAAGTTCTGAAGAGTTAAAAATACAATCAAAAAATCAATCAAGGTATTATTAATTTCCAAGTTGATACTGATGTGGCGGAAGACGATCCAAGTCTAAGCCGGATAGAGAGACGCGGCAAGAAGAAAACAGATCTGCCACGTCACCATGAATAGACATATTTTTGATTTCTTAAATTGATAAGTAAAATAAGTTAGTCAATAAAGTATTTATTTAAACCGACGTTGTTTAAATCTGAGCGTATCCAAACTGATTTCATTTTTAAAATGCATAAAAATTATTCCCAAATAAATCAGAATGGAAATAAAAATTAAAATTTTGAATTTAAATTGTTCCAGGAATATAGAAATTTGAAAACAATATTTCTGAAATATTGAAATCAAATTTTACACGTAAAATTCTTCGGATTTACAGAAAAACAAATTCCTCAAGATAATTATTCTTGAAATATATCTCTGAAAAGATGAAGATGAAAATCTGTAAGTACCTATAGTAATATTCAAATGCAAAGAAATTGAACACGTTCGCTACAAACTATGATTTTGTATTCCCTATATCTTTTTAACATGAAGACTTTTGATATGAAAAAGGCAAGTTAATATTTGAATTATTAAAGTTATACCATGTACAGTGTACACCATCAGGTTGGAGATAAAGGGATTAAAAAATTTGAGTTTGTTGCAAGTTTTCACTTCTTTTCTTCTTTCATATTTTGACAAATTAGGATTTTATATATTCTTCAAATAGTTCTATGTGTAACGTTACGAAAGGGAGACTATGTTAAGAGACTATATTTTGGGAACAGCGGGATTTTCTGGTCTCTGGTAAGTTTTTTCCAATTTGTCCTGAATGATTAGTTTAAAGTTTATTTTGCCCTTGGAACTTTTCTTTTCTGAAAAAATTTATTAAAATTAAACTGGGTTTAAATATTTTTAATCTTCAGTTATTAAAAATCTTAATTAAAATGGCGTTTATACATTATTTTATTGAATTTCATAACCCTTCTCATTCCAAAGAAATAGTCTTTGTAAATAAAAGTGACCTTTTAACGGTTTCTTATGACGTTTTTCTGTTCAATGATGTGGAAGATATCGTTGTTTTATCTAGCATGACAAGTGGCTAATTCTGGCTATGTCCCCTATTTATTCTGTGGCAGAAATTCGCAACTCAAATAAAATTTGACGTCTATAGTCCTGATGTAAAGAAAACGAAGTTTTCTCCCCTTTTATTTTATTAAGATAAAGAAAACAAATTGCTGTAACTCTTTATATACTATATGAAAACATATGAATATAAAAGGTCTTATTTATCAATAAATCTTTATAGTTAATATAATATATTTAGGAAATTTTCATGTAATAAAAAACATCGATTAATCTGAATATTAAATGTAAATAGGACACTTTTAATCTCATACTAAATCCTCTTTTTTCTCTTTTTTTTATATCCCTGCAAGATTCCGACCAATGAGAGTTATCTCAATAATTGGCGCGTAAAATTTCAAATTTTCTCGGCTTGTGATTGGCTGTTCCAGATTTTGCATACGCTACTCTATTAGTTGAATTTTCACACTTTTCAGGTTACAAACTAATAACTTATACAAACTAGCAACTAAACTAGTCTTGAGAATAATTTGAAAAGAAGATCAATCATTAATCGACTCCTTTTGTTATTCTCATGAGATTACTTTAATCTGAAAAGTTTGTGTCCAAAAATTTTTTCTAAAATTCAACCAATCAAAGTACGGTGTATCATGTCTCCAGAATCGCAAACAACCAATCAGAAGCAGGGAAATATTTTGTGCGCAATTTTATGAGACAACTCTCAATGGTCGGAATCCTTATCGGGATATAAAAAAAAATCAAAAGTATCCAAAGTGGATATTCAGATGAAGCGATAGGTATTAAGGGGGCCAATTCTAAAATGTTCGGTTCCGGAAACTCTGCTCTTGAAAACTTAAACCAAATAAAATTCCTTAAAACAGAATAATATAATATAATTTCTCATTGGTCACTTACCCTGTACTGTTAAACTGGTTTGTTCTAAGTATTTCATTTTCTCATCAATTCGTTTTATCTCATCTTCTAAAACAAAATTCGTTATATCTCATCTTCTAAAACAGAATTAATTTTATCTCATCTTCTAAAACAAAATTCATTTTATCTCATCTTCTAAAACAGAATTCGTTGTATCTCATCTTCTAAAACAGAATTCGTTTTATCTCATCTTCTAAAAAAAATTCATTTTATCTCATCTTCTAAAACAGAATTCATTTTATCTCATCTTCTAAAACAGAATTCATTTTATCTCATCTTCTAAAACAGAATTCGTTTTATNTCTACAATGGGGATCTTTAACAATCATTATATGATAATAATGATAATAATAATAATAACAATAATAATACTATAATTAAATATAGTAAAAATATATAATAATTAGCATAATAAAAATGATATTAATTATCGTTCCACAGTAATATGATAACTACTGCAATAATATAAATACAAATAAACCTGAAGTCTTGATATTGTTAACATCCAACTGCAGTACATTTAAGGCGTTGTTGTCAGGAAGAGAAACAGGTTTTGTATTATTGTTGCTGATACCAGTTATTTCAATCTAATAAAAAGATATAATTATTAATTTTATTAAAAATTAAGAATATTGAATACAGTTCAATAAAAATTCTGCTAATAAACCAATTAAACTGCATTTACTGTAGGAGTAATTTAAATTATTTTGCTTATCGCACTCCAGCTAGAGAAATTATTTAGTATATCTCACTCCAGCCAGAGAAATTATTTAGTATATATCACTCCAGCTAGAAAAATTATTTAGTATATCTCGCTCCAGCTAGATATATTATTATCTTTTCAACAATATGGTAAATAAATCAGGTTTCCAAAAATATGAGAATTTGCCATTAGAGTTTGAGCCGAGAGTTATAATATTGACTTAAATTACTCAAAAGTTAGAACCTTTTATATATAGGCCTATACTGGACACTTAAAAATACTAGCTCATCATTTATAGTTAAATGATGATTGAAAACATAGATTTCAATCAAGCATTAATTTTGCTGTAAAGGAATTGAGTCTTTGGAACAAAATCAAATATTTAAACCTCAATATCTTTAGAACTCAATGTTGTGAACCTTTGATATTTCAAACTGATTATTTGATCTAACAGAATTCATAGTTTGAAATATCTAAGGTCTGCAACATTTGGTTCCAAAGATATAGTGATTAGAAAATCAGAGTTTGTGGCAAAGATTCAATACCTTTGACGTGTTGGTGCCGTTTATATTTAGTTTTAAACTCATTAATTTAAAATAAGTATATATAGCTTTTTGTTGCACTTTCTACATTATTTCAGAGAAGTTTAAAATGAATGAAATACATTGATGAAAATCCACGAAAACATCTGACGGGTGGACTAAAGCAACTTAGTTATAAAAGACACCGCTAGGAGTCACTATAGTCAAGTCATGAATCTCATAAATTCACTGTGTTTTGTGTGCTCATACAAGGGTACATGTTGAAGGATCATTTCATATTTCCCCAGTTTATTTACGAGTAAATTATTGAAATTGGTCGATTAAAAAACAAAATGCTAATAATTTCTTTGTATTTTAAATTAAGATCCGTACGCTAACAAATGATGCATAGTAAATTAAACTTGAAATCATATGTAGTTAATTTCTATTTTCCGGATTATCGAATGGAAATAATTACTTGTAAGAGGATCTTACACTCCACTTATGAAGGGAGTTATAGTTGCCTCCTGCATGTATTATCAAAACACTATTCATTTAATTACAATTGTGAAGTGTAAACCATGGAAATACCATACTGTTGTTGTTGTTGTTATTATTGTTTACCTTTTCAATTCTTGAGATAAGTGTGGCAAGCTCTAATCCAAACTTCTCATTTAAATTATTTTCTTCCAAACTTCGAACCTATGAAAATTGTACTTAAAAGGTCCTGTCGATGTATTTAGAACTGTCCCCACCAGCGATTTACAACGGTACCATGTACGCCTTTGTCTCACCAACAAGTACAGGAATATTGTCACTTTTCTATCTTAGAAGATAGTTTAAATTGTCTACATAGTTTACAGAGCTAGGGACCACATTTGGCAATTATCAATCTTCAGATAGAAAAATAAGAATATTTTATCAACATTGCCAAAAATGAGAGTTTAGAGGGCACAGTTGTCAATTGAAGGGTCACTCGAAATTTTAAACTAAGTTTTTGAAAAATAGCATTCACCCAAAGATAATAGATTATGCATAGAGTGTAATTTACTCGAAAAAAGTGTAAAACGGCCATTTTATTGTAATGTTTCCATTCTGCAGGTGTACTTCATTCATTTGTGCTATATAACCTTTTGGTATTATATTCTCTTTGTATTCAGCAAATATATCCATGATTTGTTTGTGTGTAAAAAACCTTCATGATACTTAAACATTACAGACATAAATGCCCTAGAAATAAACATACCCCCCCCCCACACGTACCCTTCTCTTTTATTCGAAGGTATATTTTTGTTTTGAAGTACATCATAAACAATGCAAATGACTTTCTAAAGTTTCATAAAACCTGATAAAACCTTTTCCCGATATTTATGTGAGCACTGAAAAATATTACCATCGCAAACAGATCTGTGCAAATCTAGTTGGGAGGGGGCTTAAATTTTATAAAAACTTGTTTTATCATTAAATGGTTTGGAATTGTAAATCTTAACAATCCTTCAAGTGTATTTAAATTGGATCTGCCATGATAACTCGAACCTCCAGTTTTCTTATTCTTTTTTATCTTTACAACCTTGTGGTGATGTCAACCTTTTTTATAGTTTAAAATATGTACGAGAACGAAATTACAAAGAAAGTTTAAGGCGAGTAATCAGGTTTTTTTTTGATAAATTTTATAGGGTAATGAACTGGCGTGAATCGCCGACGGCTTTGCCAAAAACTCTGATTTTCTGCCAATTCTAAATCTAAAATATCAAAGGTTTACACCATCAGCTTTAAGTTTGTGGCAAAGACTTATTTCCTTTACATTAACAATCTTTTTAAAACAAGATACAAACCTCAAATCATTTTTAAGAAAACCCGCAAACTAATTTTTTAAGTTGCAATCATTTTTTAACATAAATTCGACCTGGTTCCTGAAAAATTCCCCAAAAATACCGCCATTTTGATACCTTATTCTGGACTTCCTTGACATTGAGCCCATATTCCCTGTTCTGTCCAATTATGTTCTGTACTTCACCAATCAAAGATTCAAGCTGTCCATCTTAAGATAAAAATAGAAAAGTATAGGTTTTATTATTTAGAATTTAAAGAAATTACCTCTTCTCTGGTTTTCTTGGATAATATTTGTCAGGTATTCTGGAATTATCTCACCAATTTCTTCTCGTGTAATTCCCCCAGGATCCATATTATCCCTATACAAAGCAAATGATAAAACCCTATATTATCCCTATACAAAGCAAAAGATAAAACCATATATTATCCCTATACAAAGCAAATGATAAAACCCTATATTATCCCTATACAAAGCAAATGATAAAACCCTATATTATCCATCCATCTATCCATATTAGACATAAATAGCCCAGTCGGGGTTGGGTTTAGATGCGGGTTTCCAACGCAAGTGGATTTTACTTACACCCTTTTGCGAACCCTGTAAACTCCACGCAATTCCGCGCATTTCCACGCAATTCCGCGTAATTCCACGCAGTTCCGCGCAATTCCACACAATTCCGCGTAATTCCTAACCAAATAGTGTTAAAATATTCATTTGTATTAAATTTATTGTAATCTGAATTAAGGTTTCATATTTGATAAATCAGAATTGTAAATATTGAAAAATACCGATGGTGAAAATTTGATATTAACAAACTATATTAATATAAAAATAGAAATGAATTTAGAGGAACTGTTAAGATATTTTTATTAAACGGTACCCTATGTTGCCTTGTGTTGCCTTTAAGATTGTTGAATTCTTTTTATTTCTGTCATTGCCTTCACTGCATAAATCTGAAAAAGTTCTTAATAGTTTTTAACCCTATCCCTGCTGAAAACCAGGATATGCTGGAGGGGTCAATGTCCAAGGGGGGGGTCTAAATCCCATGTTTTATGTCCAAATATGACAGATGATACATCATTAGAAAGCTCTTGTGCTCTACTTTTAGAATCTGCCAAAAATTTGCAAATTTGCAAAAATTGAATTTTTTATCGCAAAATCCAGTTATATAGTAAAAATGTTTGCAAAACAAAATTTGTCCAAAAAATGAAAAATTATACATTTTTGAAAAGCCCTTGACCTTGCAATTTCAAATACGCAAAAAATTTTGCAAAATTTTAAATAACCTGATTTTTAATCAAGAAAAACTAAAAATGTGCAAATTTCTTTTGACAGGTTGTTTGCCAAAAATTTGCAATTTTTTTTCGCAAAACTTGTAAAATCCGTTTCCTTATGTCATAGGCTTTCCAAAAAGCTAAATTTTATCAAAATCTGACAAGTGAAAGTGGGTCAAAACAAAGATTTAGATTGTTACAGGCAAAAGCAGTCATTCAGGCAGTGTGCCTGAGGACTCAGGCAGTTAGTATTAAAGCCCGGTTTTAAGCCTAAAGGGAGGTCTTTGGGTATGTAAGAAAAGTCAGAAAATTTCAACAGCCTCAGACCAATATTTTTAGAAAAATGTAAAAAAAAACTACAGGGGGGGTCAAATTGACCCCCCCCCCCCAGCAGGAATAGGGTTAATCAAGGTTTAAATGGTACCACAGTGTATTGTGAGGGAAACATTTTACGCCACATCACTGGTACGAATTTGAGACCTCATAGTCTCTTTGATTTTAAGAGAAATGTATCTGAGTAGTGGGTATATGTATAAAATACATTTTTGTTCTTTTTATAACGTTTTTAAAATGAGGAATTATGATTGAAGTTAGATCAGATTTCAATCTTACTTTAGTTTGAAGCAAGAATGTAAGGCAAGGAAAGTTAATTGCAGTTGCGTACACTCTGTGTACATATTGAAACCATTTCTCTCTGGGCGGAATTTGTAAACAATAATAGATTCATCATTGTTCGTTTAGTATCCGAGGAGGTTAAAAGCATTAAATTTTGATAATTTTGATAATTCACATAATAATTTCCTATGACCAGAATATTTCATTGATTTTTTATGTGAATGATGGACCCCATGTCAGGCTTCGACATCCGTCTTGTGTTTACATTAGCGCCCAGAGACAGTACATTGCATTACTAAAGATGTGTACACTTCTGAAATGACTTCCCTTGCCTTACATCCTTGGTTTGACGTGGGGGAGAGTGTCATTAGAAATAAAGTAAATTCTTTTTACTGCGTGATTTACTGCGTGATTTACTGCTCTTGAATCAACGAAATGTTCAAAATATTATGTTAATTATGGAGATTTTGTTTGTGTTCAAAATTTTTAGAATGGAATAAATCAATTCTTCAATGTCTGAAATTTTTATTGAAATGGATTTTCAATTTTTAAATTTTACAGGGTGGGGTACGTAGGCCTAAGTCACGCCTAAGTTGACCCGACAAGACATGCTACGTTTTTACGATAGGTTTTTAGAGTGCCATCTCACGGCCACTTGTTGAATATAATACCCATTCAGGAGTTACCTTTAACACCTTTTAAACACCTTCAATGTACAAAATGGAGTCAGACAAGGAGTAGTTTCTTCCCCTGTGCTATTCTGCATTTACATTGACAAAATTATCAAGTTATTACGATGTTCAACGATTGGATGCCAAATCCAAGGTGTCTATATGGGCATCTGGGTATATGCAGATGATATTATTCTGCTTTCTCCTAGCAGAACAGGTCTTCAGGAAATGGTGAAAATTTGTGAAAATTTTGCCATAGCTACTAAACTGACAAATATTCGAATCAAAAATGTAAAACTAAATGCCTTATTTTTTCTAAAGAAAGGATTAATTATAATGAAATAACCCAAATTTTATTGAATGAATTACCTTTACCATTTGTTAACGACTTAAAACATTTAGGAAATGTTCTGCAAAGTGATAATTCAATGACCATAGATTGCAATAAAAAACGAGCTATTTTCATTTCAAAATTCATTCCCTTAACCAAGAATTTTATTTTAACAGTCCTGATGTTATTTTGAAACTGTATAATATTTACTGTTGTAGTTTTTATGGATCTAGTATTTGGGACTTGAGTTCCCAATGTGTTTCAAAATTGTATACAGCATGGAATACTGCTATTAGAATTCTTTTTAATGTACCTAGAGATACGCATAGGTACTTGATTGAAAGTATTTCACAATGTTTACATGTACAAACTTTATTAGCTAGCAGATGTGTGTCTTTCTATGAGACTATTGAAGCAAGTTCTAAGCTTTGCATTAGATTTCTTTCTAATTTATGTAAAAATGACCTCAACACAGTTCTTGGCAGAAATTTTTTTCTATTGCAAATGATTGTTCTGTAAATCCTTCGGATCTTAGTAAAATGTTAGTTAAGAAACAAATGAAATATTTTGATGTCCCATTGGAACATGCATGGAAAGTTCCGGTTTTACAAGAACTTTTAAGTACAAGAATGAATAATTTATATGTTGAAGGGTTCGATGATTACGTAATAACTGCAATGATAAATATGTTATGTAGTGAGTAAAAATCAATGTTTTCTATTTGCGCATAATTTTGCATATTTTTTTCTCTTTTCTTTTGGAAACCTGTATTTTCAAAACAAATTTATTTAAACAAATTTAAACTACACCATTTATATATGTATTTATATCTTTGTGTGTGAATAAATCTTTATAATAATAATAAGAAAGAAATACTCCAATTTTAAACATCAAACATAACGTTTATGAATTCAGTCTTTTTTTGTAGATTTTGTGTTTCCTATCGCATATAATAGCTGATAATCGATCTCTGTAACTCTCTTATATCTGGGACTGATTAACTTTTGTGATATCCCTTGATTTTGACAAAAAGCTTTGTTCCATGAATTCTACTTCTAGTGCTTGTTTGAATTCATGAAATTTTATCACTCACATTCCAAACTAAAAACTTGAATTCAAACCTAGATTAAAAACCTGAAAATAAACCCGCTATAGAATAAGGACAAAACATAATTGTTGTTCCAATGTTAAAAAATGTTTTAAAAAAAGGATTCTCGTAATATTTTTCATTAATTCTGAGATGTGGCCTATAATTTGTTGGATACCCCCATTGCTTGATCTCGATTTTTCAACGTGGGCACTTTTAATATGAGGATCTATGCTTAACTCTTCAAATTCAATTCAGGGAATCTGTATATTAACAATATATAGAGATCAAGCATTGATCTCGATATTCACAATACAAGAGTTCCCATCTCTATGAATTTATTACACAACCCATGGTTCGATTCTTAATAGTACCATTTAATCATAGTCTGCTGATGGATGAATGAAATGAATGATATGGCTTAAAATATTGTCACTAAAAAGTGATTTGGTCTTAAAGGCTTTTGAGTTTAACATAATTTAACTGTTATTTATATTTTAAAAAATGAAAATACTATTTTTACTCAATTAGATATTTGAAGGGCACCTTAGTGAATTGAACATGCCACGAACCTTGTCTCTTGAAAGGGACAGTACCTGACTATTCAACGAACCTTGTCTCTTGAAAGGGACTGTACCTGACTATTCAACGAACCTTGTTTCCTGAAAGGGACTGTACCTAATTATTCAACGAACGTTGTCTCTTGAAAGGGACTGTAGCTGACTATTCAAGAACCTCGTCTCTTGAAAGGGACTGCACCTGACTATTCAACGAACCTCGTCTCTTGAAAGGGACTGTACTTGACTATTTAACGAACCTTGTCTCTTTAAAGAGACTATACCTGACTATTCAACGAACCTTGTCTCTTGAAAGGGACTGTACCTGACTATTCAACGAACCTTGTCTCTTAAAAGGGACTGTACCTGGCTATTCAACGAACTTTGTCTCTTGAAATGAAGTGTACCTGACTATTCAACGAACCTAGTCTCTTAAAAGGGACTATTCCTGACTATTCAACGATCCTCATCTCTTGTAAGGGACAGTACCTGACTATTCAACGAACCTTGTCTCTTGAAAGGAACTGTACCTGACTATTCAACGAACCTTGTCTCTTGAAAGGGAATGTACCTGACTCTTCAACGAACTTAGTCTCTTAAAAGGGACTGTACCTGAATATTCAACGATCCTGATCTCTTGAAAGGGACTGTACTTAACTATTCAACGAACCTTGTCTCTTGAAAGGGACTGTACCTGACTATTCAACGAACCTTGTCTCTTGAAAGGGACTGTACCTGACTATTCAACGAACCTTGTCTCTTAAAAGGGACTGTACCTGACTATTCACCGAACCTTGTCTCTTGAAAGGGACTGTACCTGACTTTTCAACGAACCTTGTCTCTTGAAAGGGACTGTACCTGACTATTCATGAACCTTGTCTCTTGAAATGGACTGTACCTGACTATTCACCGAATTTTGTCTTTTGAAAGGGACTGTACCTGACTATTCAAGGAACCTTGTCTCTTGAATGGGACTGTACCTGGCCATTTTAAAAACCTCGTCTCTTGAAAGGGACTGTAACTGACTATTCAACGAACCTTGTCTCTTGATAGGGACTGTACCTGACTATTCAACAAACCTTCTCTCTTGAAAGGGACTGTACCTGACTATTCAACGAACCTTTTCTCTTGAAACGGACTGTACCTGGCCATTTTTAAAAACCTCGTCTCTTGAAAGGGACTGTAACTGACTATTCAACGAACCTTGTCTCTTGAAAGGGACTGTACCTGACTATTTTAAGAACCATATCTCTTGAAAGGGACTGTACCTGATTTTTAACGAACTTTTTCTCTTGAAAGGGACTGTACCTGATTTTTAACGAACCTTTTCTCTTGAAAGGGACTGTACCTGACTATTCAACGAACCTTGTCTCTTGAAAGGGACTGTACCTGACTATTCAATGAACCTTTTCTCTTGAAAGGGACTGTACCTAGCCATTTTAAAAACCTCGTCTCTTGAAAGGGACCTGACTATTCAACGAACCTTGTCTCTTGAAAGGGACTGTACCTGACTATTCAACGAACCTCGTCTCTTGAAAGGGACTGTACCTGATCATTCAACGAACCTTGTCTCTTGAAAGGGACTATACCTGACTATATAACGATCCTCATCTCTTGAAAGGAACTGTACCTGACTATTTTGATAACCTTGTCTCTTGAAAGGGACTGTACCTGACTTTTCAACGAACCTTGTCTCTTGAACGGGACTGTACCTGACTATTTTAAGAACCTTTTCTCTTGAAAGAGACTGTACCTGACTATTGAACGAACCTTGTCTCTTGAAAGGGACTGTACTTGACTATTCAACGAACCTTGTCTCTTGAAAAGGACTGTAACTGACCATTCAACGATCCTCATCTCTTGAAAGGGACTGTACCTGACTATTCAACGAACCTTGTCTCTTGAAAGGGACTGTACCTGACCATTCAACGAACCTTGTCTCTTGAAAGGGACTGTACCTGACTATTCAACGAACCTTGTCTCTTGAAAGGGACTGTA